CTGTAGGAATTAGAACCTCATCTGGGTAAGTAGCAGAGGACTAAGGAGTCTCCCTAATGCTGAAAGCAACCACTTCACTTTAGGGAAAATAGGAGTAAAACCTTCAGGTATCTTTGATTTGTAGTGCTAGAGAATTTGCAAAAGACTGCTTTCACTTCTGCATTTTCAGACTACTTTTATTGAAAAGCACAGTTATGATTTGGGGATTTTTTAAAAAGACAGTGTAAAATAAAGCTGAGAATGTGTTAAATGTAGTTTGGTTTCTTTCAGGAGTGTGGAACGATTAATACAGCCCTTAATGCAAAGTAATTCCAGGGAATATTACTCTCTAACATCTTTATGGTATCTTAAGATATCTCACCTTTGATACAGTCAGAGAAAAGCTCCTTCACTATAAATTGATGTTGCCTTTGTTTGCTTTTTCCTTTTTTTTCCTCCTTTGTCACCTCTTTAATTCTTATGTTGCCATCCTCGTTTTTCTAATGTGTGCAGATTAACGAGTGCAGCTCAGGAAAGGTGTTTGTTTTGTATTCTTTAACAGTAAATGGGGTTTTAGTGCAATTACTGTAATGCTCTGTTCATTGTTCCTTCCTTTATCAACTCTTAGAGTAGAAAAAAATGGCTCTTTCTGTGCCCACACTAATTCTTTGCTTTTGGCACTTCAGGGCTCTTGTGTCAATGTGATTTGTGGTTGTGGAGGGAGGAGGAGGAGTAGGGGAGCAGGGAGAGCCTTTACCTGGAGAATCCCTTGGCTGGAAGCGCAGCTGAGGAGGAAAAATACCTTCAGTGGTCTGAAACCTCCTGTCCTGGGTGAGTCATCACACCTGTGGCTTGGGAATGAGTCACTGTGACTTTGTTGTATTTTCATAGAATCCTGTAATGGTTTGGGTTGGAAGGGACTCTTAAGACCATCTCGTTCCACCCCCTGCCATGGGCAGGGACACCTTCCACTAGCCCAGGTTGCTCCAAGCCCTGTCCAACCTGGCCTTGGACACTTCCAGGGATGGGGCAGTCACGGCTTCTCTGGGCAAAGTAATTTAAATAACCTCCCTTGAATAACCTCCAAGTCCATTGCTTGGCAAAGACGTGAACCTATTTTTACTTTTCTTCACATAAACACATCAAACCCACACTGGCAAATCCAACCCTTTCCAGGTGTCCAGCAGCCAACACACAGCTCTGCTTCCTTCTGACTAACTTGGTTCTAAAAGTGGTTGAGGGCTTTGGTCATATTTTGGTATTTATCTACCATTTGGGGAGTAATTTCAGTGAATTTACAGGACTGCAACACTCAAAAGATGAATTTCATACCTGAGGAAATTGTCATGGCAATTTGGTATGAAACAAAAATCACGGAATCACAGAAGGGTTTGGGTTGGAAGGGACCACAAAGATCATCTTTTTCCCACCCCCTGCCATGGGCAGGGACACCTCCCACTAGCCCAGGTTGCTCCAAGCCTGGTCCAACCTGGCCTTGGACACTTCCAGGGATGGGGCAGCCACAGCTTCTCTGGGCAACCTGTGCCAGGGCCTCATCACCCTCACAGCCAACAATTCCTTCCCAAAATCTTATCAAAACCTCTTCTCTGTCAGTGTGAAGCCATTCCCCCTTGTCCTGTCCCTCCAGGCCCTTGCAAATAGTCTCTCTCCATCTTCCTTTTTGTCTCCCTCCAGGTAACTCACCCTGGCTTGGGCTCAGTCATAAATCTTTTGATGCTGGAGGAACCACGTTCTTTATTTTGCTCTGTGTTGTAGCAGAGGTGTTTCTGGTTTATGAGGTTGTGTAACTCCTTTGCCAGAACTTGAGCTGTAATTCTCAGTTTGGGCGTGAAGAGAAGGCCTGAAGTTACCTGTTGTAAATATTCCTAATGCTCCATTTAGTTTAGAGCTCTCCCTGCTGAAAATCTGTCATGCTGAGAACTGGATTTTCCAAATTAAGCAAAACTTAGTTAAAAGAAAAAAAAAAAGGGAAGTTATACTTCAGGTTTTTAAATATTTTAAATGGTGCCTCAGAATACAGTTGTTCAAACAAAATATAAGCATTCCAGTTTCATGCTTTACTCCTCCAAAATTTTGTTTTTTCCTTTAATTAAAGCCTTGTTGTTTGCTCCAATCAAACATTTTCTGTCATAACATCTTTTGATGTCACTGTACATAAAAAAAGGTACCCTGAGAGGGAGTTATCTGCTACCTTGCATAGGAGTAGGCAGTGCAGTGCAAGCCTTGCTTTGTAATCATAGGGTGGAATGCACTTTATAGTTATTTTGGTTGTTTGTTTCAGGATCTGTCAATGCTGCTGCAAGCCAAAAATGTGATTTATTTTTTCTTGCAGACACATTTTTCAGACATATATTTTTAAAGATAAATCATCCCTCCATGGCCATTGCTCCTCAGTCAGTTCAGGGCAGTGGGAGCTGTCTGGGCAGTAATTACCACTTGACGGCTGTTTGTCATCATCAAAGGGTTGGTCATTACAGTGAAGCTCCTGGTGCATGACCCCTGTTATGACAGACACCAGTTAAGACTTCTGGGCATAAATTTTAGTGTCTTTTGTTTGTAGCTGCCTTTGATCCTCAGCGTTACTCCATTTAATGTTTGAGCAGTGCTTGGCTGAAGTGTGAACTGAGTACAGGACTAGTTCGAATCTGTCATAATGGGAATTTTTCCTGACTGGGATGTCTGATTTAAGGCAGTGGGATTGCTTGTCGGGGTTGTGAAGGTTGAAGGCTCTCGTTGGATTAATTTTTGGATGTATGAACATCCTCTGGTCCTCTTGATTTGTGAACCCTGAAGAGATCTGAGTGAACACCCAAAGGGTGACCAACCTTACAAATCTGGGGGAGTTAGGACTGTGTAACTTTGTTTTCCCTGGTATGTAGAAAAGCTGAACTGAAAACATTCCTGATGAGTGTTATCAAGCAGCTGGTCCCACGTGCCGTGTACTCACCATGGTTATCATCCCTCTGCTCAGAGCAGTTTGAAATGGCAATTTTTGTTGATGTGTTTCACAGAAGCCTCTTCTCCTGCAGAATAGCAGTTATGGCTCTCAAATATCATGTGCCAGATATCTGGGAGGGAGGGTTTATCTCTCTTTAATAATGACAAAATTGGCAAAAACATTAGAACAGGAATAGCTTGGCTCGTTGTGATGTCAATAAAAACCTCTTATTACTTTTTAAATCCTTCATTTAAATACTGTTGATATTACTCTCTGCAGTGCACCCAACCTTTATTCCTTTTACCCTGCAGTGTCCTTTTATTCCATTTATAATCTTACACTGTACACTGTGTTTTATCTGCCAAACTGCTTTTTTTATTTATTTACCTCTTAACATTAAAGTCTGTCAAACAGGAGGAGTTGTGCAGAGAAAAGGACCGAGACAGCCCTTTAGGTGTTTGTTTTTGGTAATGCTGTGAGCTGGGATTCAAGAAGTTCTGGGGAGAATAAATAGTAACTCCTGGGGGTTGAAAAGGCAGTCAAGGCCATGGTTGGGCTCCATGCCCTGTCCTTGTGGTGGGATTAGACCTTCTCATGTGCCCACTTGGATGTTCCCTGCACTTGGGGCTAAACTGATTATCAGATTTGAGGTCAAGGAAGTACTTTTTTCTCCAGTTACGAGTTCTTACAGATGTAATTTATGTTGTTGTTCTGTGTAATAGGGCTCTCCCCGGCTTCTTAGGACTGCTTGGGATAGGAGAAAACTGGGCAGGTGAGGGAAGGTGTTTCCTGGGTCTCACTGTTTAATTTATAACTGTGGCTTTTGCTATAAATTTTAAATTTTAGGGATTTGGTTTTGCTTTATTACCTGTAATGAGTGTGGAATATGTTAATGCTCTGTGAACTCTTTCGGTCTGAACACTGGTGAAGATTTCCTGGGAAGGAGAGTCACACCTAACTTATCCAGGTCTTTCTGTTCCAGTTATAGTATCCTGGAGTCCCACTGGAGCACTCCTGAGCAGTGCTGCCCACCAGCCCTGGAAACTGAGGTAGAAAGAAAAGCAGTGGTTGTCTGAGTGGTGGTAGGGAGTTTGGTTGCTATTGTGTTCCAAAAAATGCTGTGATACCCTCAAGAGTTATTACAAACAATAAGAAATTCTGATTCCCAGCTATTTTTGATTGCTAACCTCATTGGAGGGAGTAGCTGCAGTTGCACATTTAGACAGAAACTTCTGTGGATCCACCTTGACTAAAATTCTTTAATTTCAGTCTTGTGAAATAGCAGAGTCGCCGCCTTCGGTCATGAGGACCCTACTTGGTGTGGGGAGATTTTGTTTCCTGCAGAGAGTTTGCTCCATATGAAACATGAAAATTTAGCTTTAGGAATCACAACTGTTTCGTTTTTCAGATTATTAATATTTTTTTTTTCCCAACCAAACCTAGTTTGCAGTGTTATTTGTCAGAAAAATTTCTGCTACTCTCAGTGCTCATGAGTTTCTGGATTTTCTCTTGGGAAGGGTAGGGAGGAGTGGTCTCTGAGTTACTGGGTTTTTTTAATTGTAATTCATTATATGGTGCATTGATGCAATTACCACTGGAATTCAGGAATCCTGGAATCCTGTTTTTAACTATAGTATGCATGCAGTAAACGAATAAAGTGACCGAGAAGTGATTCTTTAGTATTTGTGGTGGTGATTTGAGTTTTAGAAAGACACTCTGTAAGTGTTCTGCGTGTTGAGCTGATAGTGGAAGATGTTGCAGTTCATGACAGAACTGCCTAAAATTTACACACAGTGCTGGAAGATGGGCAAGTACAACAAAAATTAATTGGTTGTATTGCCATGAAGAAGCAAAGCCTTACAAATGGAGTGAGGGCCAGCTTTAGAAAGTGAACGTGTGGCTTTTTTGTTGCAAGGGGAAATATTAATGGATTTAAGAACTTGGCCAAATTTTTCCCGTTTTTTTCTTTACAAAATGATTGAAAAACAGTTATGTGGAGAAACAAAAATCCTAGAAGTTGTGTTGTCTTGCATGTACTGACAGCAGTGTTTCCTCTGTCCAGCTCTCTACAACTACGATGCCAGGGGACCTGATGAACTTTCCTTGCAAATTGGGGACACCGTGCACATCCTGGAAACATATGAAGGTAAGGTGGCAAAAACTGAATTAAACCCAGTATTTTTTCATGACTGCATTCCTTTTTCTGTTCATGACCTTCTGATGGGATCAGGTGGTGAATTGCTAATTTGCTTTTTTAAGGACAAACCCTGTTATTTCTAATGAACACAGAATTAACTGAGTGAAGCCACGTGTGGTCGATGACCTGGTGAATAATCATTTCCTTTTCTGGGGGAGATGGATGTTCTCACAGCTTTATTTGTATGGATTAATTGTAGCTTCTGCCCTATGTTAGAGAAATGATAGATGCTTTTTGGATACTCTCAGGTAATGCAGAAGAACCTGCTGCTAAAAGGAGTTTAATCTGAATTTGAAAGTCACCCGGGTCCTAAATTATTTATGTCTCTCATGTAAGAAGGGTACATGTGTTACAGTGCCCTGCACTGATTTCAGGCTTTTCCAGATGCTTTTCTTGTTTTGATATGAAACTGTAGAAATGTTCCCTGTACCAAAACCTTTCCTCCTTGATCCATGTAAAAGGGAATTTGAATGCTGAGTTTGATAATCAACAGGATGTGGAAATTGTCACAGCACTTTTCAGCTCTTAATTCAGTACCGAGCCAAGCAAAATACAGCTGTTTTATTATATCCTTGAGTTGAAATTTTATGGCATGGTGCAGTTTGGAAAGGTGTAAGGAACACATAACTAATCCCTGTGTGGTTTAAAATCTTGCAACTTCTTTTTTCGTGTGGAAACGTGATTTATTTCAATATATTGATTTAATTTTTTTCTCAAGACATTGATCTTTTGGGAAATCTGTGTGACAAATTTGTTTTCGATATTGGCTTAATTGGATTTTTTTATTATTATATTTACTGAAACAATGTTATTTCAACAAGAGTAACAAGCTCTGCTCATCAGTGTACAATGGAATTTTCTCATTATTCCTGGGCTGGCATTTTCTTGGAGTTGAGCTTTGCTGCTCCAGTGCCAAGTTTGTCTTTGAGCAAAGCAATGGTTCCGCTATCTGACGTTACAAGCTTTAATAAAAATCTAATAATGCAAAGATTTTAAATGCAAATTGAATGATTTAAATATTGCATAGCTTTGTACTTTTATATATAAATAGATTTATTTAATGAACGTGGGAGAAACTCTGAAACCATATCAAATGCTGACTGCTGCCAAGTAAGTGGGACAGTGGAGATGACTCACTTTTCCTCTGGACTGGAATAATGGGAAGACCTTCACACTCCTCTCAGGGCTTCAAGCACATGGGATGAGGTCATGTTAAAAGAAATGCAAATAAGTCAATGTTCTTCCAAACGTGTTTTACAGTGATTACTCATTAAGGCCCTGCTGTGATGGGAAATTAGATCCCATAATTCTTATCTCTCTTGTTCACAGAGCTGCCATTATTAAGTGATTATTTGAGCTGTTTGATCTCCGAGTTCCTTGGTATAAAATCTGTGTAGGTTGTGCCCCAGGAGGTTTCATCCATATCCAGGTGTGTGCCTGGGAACTCACCTGCCCTCAGTCCTGCCCATCCCACTGCTGTCCAATCTCAAGAAAACCCTCCCTAATTATATGAGCATGGGACAGAAAAGGTTTTTGAAGACTCAGTGTTTCCTTTTTACTGAGGATCTGGGATTTTGCTTCTCCAAGGTCTACCCCTTCTCCCTGTATTGAAGGCTGTGGGGAAAACAATTGGCTTCTCTCATGGATACCTGCTGTTATCATGCGTTCTGCTCCTCCCACCCTGCTAGAGATTTGTTACTATTTTGAAATAGTTCTCTGCAATAATTCTTAAGAGTAGTTTTGAAAACTGATGTGTCTGCAGGCTTTGAAGTGGTAGATAGTAGTTGGGGTTTTTTTTGTGTATTTTTTCCCTCTGAATCTGCACTGTTGTCAAGAAAAGCTCATGGGAAATCCTTGCTCAGTTGGTTTTCTCTCTGAAGGCACCAGAGGATGAGCAGCTGAGAGGGCTCAGCCCCACATCCATAGTCTAGAAGAGCTGTTTTAAGGAGAGGCAGGAGTCTGTAGGAGAATGGAATGGATTGCTGAGATGAACTTTGACTGTGTGTGGGAAATAATATTTGCTTTTTTAACTATTAGTACAACTTATTTTGGAATTTGTTTTTATTACTGAACAAAAAACCTGACACATTAAATTTTAATCAAAGAATTGGTTTTTTTTTCCTCTAGAATGCAAGAAAAAAGTGTTCTATTTCATAAATACATAATATGTAGATCCTGTAAATTTGAGGTGTGGTGAGAACAGCTTCTGTTTTACAGGAGTTGGGAGGTTGGAAATGAATGTGCACGTTGCACTGTCAAAGTTTGTGTTCTTCCAGGAACCAAAGTAAAGATGAAGCTACTTTCTAGAGTAATTGATGTTGAAAGTCAAATTAATATCCTTTCTTTCAGGAAGAATTTTAGATAATTTATTCTTCAGTTAGAAAGAATATTCTTATTCCTTCTAACATGAACCTTAAGGAAAGACCAAACAAAGCCATATGAATTTGTAAATATCCTTCATTTTGTAGCAGATATCCCAAAACAGCTATTTATCACAATCTGGGTTAGTACTTGCCAGATCTTTATTGTCTTAATTCTGTTTCTTTACGTTATTTGCTGGAATGGGCCAAAACCCATGGTCACTAAATGTGGCTTATTAAGGTGAATGCCTATGAAATGTAACAGAAAATCAACCTCAAACCCAAGGTTGTGTGTTTGAGCATCAGTTGATTTCTGGTGCTGTTGTGAGAAGGGGGTTTGGGTTCCCAAATACGGATTTTCAAATAAGTTATTCCCGATACTTTGAGAACGTTTTAGTTCTTGGTTGCAGGTTTTTTTTTTTAAATGCAGCAAATACTTTCTCTGTGTAACTGTTTAGTAAAGAGATGCATCGTTCAAGAGTAAGCAAATATTTGAATGTCTTTTGCAGCTTTAACAGAGAAACAAGTATTTCATTGGTCTCTCCCCTTAGCTGAGCATTTATGTGGATCCGTATTTCCAGGCATTATATCCTGTAATATTTGTTAAGGTTGAGGCCTGGCCTCAAACACGTCCAGGGATGAGGCAGCCACAGCTTTTCTGGGCAATCTGTGCCAGGGCCTCCCCACCCTCACAGGGAAGAATTCCTTCCCAGTATCCCATCTAACCCTGCCCTCTGGCACTTTGAAGCCGTTACCCCTTGTCCTGCCACTGCAGTTCCAGATGGAGAGTCCTTCTCCAGATTCCTTGTAAGCCCATTTGGATACTGGAAGATTGTTCCTCACATCTGATCTAAATCTACTCTGCTTCATCTTAAGGCCATTCTCCCTTGTCCCATCCCTCCATGCCCTTGTCTCAAGTCCCTCTCCAGCTCTCTGTGAGCCCCTTTAGGCACTGGAAGGGGCTCCAGGGTCTCCCTGGAGCCTCCTCTTCTCCTGGATGAACAGCCCCAGCTCTCTCATGATTTTGGGTAGTTGATAAGAGATGACTTCATGCATTTAAATGGCATTGTGTGTATTCATGGCAAGCCCCAGTGCCTCCAGTTGAGTCAGTGAGAGCTGCATTGGAAATTTTGGCTCCCCAGTGCACAGCTCCAGGCTGGATACCCGGCACCAGCTCCATCCAGCTGCCAGCTGCCAGGGAGGAGCCTGGTTGGACCTGCCTGGCCACACTGGGACCTGTGCAATGAGCAGGAGTGCAACCAGTTCTCCAAGGCAGATTTTGGCTGCTCTCTTATCTGTGATCCTTGGAGCAATTCCTGCTGGCTGCAAAGCTCCAGGAAGCAGAGGTTTGACCACGAGGAGCTCTCTTTGCTACGTGGTTTTTAATCAGTGTGGTGTCCTGAGGCAGCACAGAAGATGGGGTGGGAGAAGAGATACTGTGATTGTGTGTTCTTCAGTTTGTACAGTGCATTTGGGCAGAGTTACGGTGTTTAGCAGACTGTAGAACTTCAAAACGTTGGTTTATTCCTATAAAACTGAGGGAATTCAGTTATTTAATAGCACTGGGATCTGTGTGTGTGGGTTTCAGCCAGTGGAGTTAACGGTGGCAGAAATGTTTTATCTTCTCTGCACCTGAGCTAGAAGCTGGGAGTGTTCATTTCAGCAGCAGTTGTTGTTGATATTCCTCTGAAGGCAGTGGAAATGTGAGATGTGAGGCCAGTGCAACTTCTGTAGGGAAGTGAACTGTGATGGCTGTAGACCCCAAATCTGAGAAGATGGCACTAACCTTCCCCAGGTGAACATGGGGGATGAGCTCCTGGTGGAGTGCAAAGGTGATGAATCACTTCACCTTTTGCTGCAGGAGAGCAGACTGAAAAATCCCGTGTGCTTGAGCCTTTAATTTGTGCTTCTAGTCCCAGAGTGTGCATAATGAATTTGTCAGCATGTGCTGACTTCACTGAACTTTCTTCCTGCCCCAGCTGTTACTGGTTGCAGTTTCTTTTCCACATTTGCTTTGTGATCTCTCCATCCTCGCCCAGAGATGGATGCTTTGCTGTACAAAACCCCTGTTTGTGTGGCTCAGTTTGCATCCAGGCTCAGTTTTCCAAGAGGGCTCCTTGCTTTTATATTTTGATGTGTGAACCATAAATCACAAAGTATTCTTGTATTCTGATGAGATGGCTAAAGGCTGATCTACATTTCAGAACTTGCAGTTGTGCATTTTCAATAGGTTTTAAAATTGAACCAGTCAAACAGCACATTTTTGTAAATTTAATGCTCTTGAGGTGGTTTTTTGTTTATGTTGGTGAATTAGTAATTAAAATTAAGTGGATGGTAATTAAACACATAATGTAAACATCCATCTCTGTCATGTCTTGTCCATCAGTTTGATCATCGTCACTGGGATTTTTACAACCTCCAAGATGACTTGTTTTATCCAGGTTATTAAACCTGTAGAAAATTGAAATTCAGGTGGGATGTGCAGGGGTGAAACATCATCAGAAACCTCTGTGCTGGTGAGCTGGGAGGTGACATGAATGAACTTTTTCATGCTTTTTCCCTTCTAGGTTGGTACAGAGGTTACACACTACGGAAGAAATCCAAGAAGGTGAGTGTTGCCAGAGCAAGGTGCTCATTTTTTTCCTGAACAGAGATGAATTTGTGGCATTGGGTGTGTTGATTTGTGGAGATCTTGTGTGCTGGTCAACACGTGTCCACTGGGCCCTGATCACTGCATTCCCAAGCTCTGCTCAGTGTGAATTTTCCAGGGTTAAAAAAAAGAAAAGGAAACTTATTTTAGCAAGGCCCAAAAGGTGAGTTGTATATCCAGCTCTGGGGGCCCAGCTCAGGAAGGACATGGACCTGTTGCAGCAAGTCCAGAGGAGGCCACTGAGGTGATCAGAGGGCTGGAGCAGCTCTGCTGTGAGGAAAGGCAGAGAGTTGGGGTTGTTCAGCCTGGAGAAAAGAAGTCTCTGGGATGACCTAATTGTGACCTTCCAGGACTTGAAGGGGCTCCAAGAAAGATGGAGAGAGACTATTTACAAGGGTCTGGAGTGACAGGACAAGAGGGAATGGCTTCAAACTGGCGATAGGTTTAGATGGGATATTGGGAAGGAATTTGGCTGTGAGGGTGGTGAGGCCCTGGCACAGGTTGCCCAGAGAAGCTGTGGCTGCCCCATCCCTGGAAGTGTCCAAGGCCAGGTTGGACGGGGCTTGGAGCAACCTGGGCTAGTGGAAGGTGTCCCTGCCCATGGCAGGGGGTGGGAAAAAGACGATCTTTGTGGTCCCTTCCAACCCAAACCATTTTAAGATTCCATTTTTTGCAGTGTCGAGGTATATTGGTCACTCACTACATGTGTTTTAATGTGCACCATCTTGTTTTCTGCAGTAACTGATGTATCAAGTCTTCGGCTCAGTAAAAAGTTCAGAACTTTATGTTCTAGTTGGTCTATTTAGAGGCTGACACTTGTTAAATAATGTATTACTGGTGAAAGCCAATTGCATCTTGGAAAGGGACACGGAGCTCTACAATGGGATTTCTCAGCCCTTCTCTGGGAGAAGCGGAGGAATCTTCAGCAGTGTAATTTCAGGCTGCAGTTTAGAGCAGCCTTTCTGAAAAATAAAAAGAAAGGGAAACCACACAAATACTGGTTGTAACGTCATGTTTTATTTTTTGAGCATTTTACTTTATAGTAGTAATTAACCAGAATTAAACATCTTCTGGTTTTGCTTCTTTTTTTCACTGAAACACCAAAAATGTCATGTTTGCCTCCAGAGGTGTGTTTTTAGTTGCTGTGTATGTCTAAAAGTACAGAGCTGAGTTGTCTGGTTTGTCCCACCCATTTCCTTACCAGACCTGGTTTTCTGTTCTATTTTGATATTTTCTTTTTTATTTTTTGGGAATACATTAAATTTCTTACAAACTGTGTTTTACAAATGTGCCTTGTAAAGCCTAAGAAGAAATTACACATTCTTCTTGGCTTAAATTAAGTCCACGTGTTGCTGCACTTCTCTGACTGCCACTAAATGCAGTGACTTTTATTTATTTTTTTTTAACTGGGATGAAAAAAACCCACCTTCCTCTTTCTGTGCCCCCAGTGGCTTTCTAAGAATTCCTATTTTTGCATTCCCATGTGATAAGAAAACTGAACTTATACCCTGAAGGGTGAGGTGGAGGAACTTGCTTTCCCAGCTTGACTTGAATTATTTTTTAATATGAGCTTACATTATTTTAAAAATATTGTTGTATTTCTGGAATCTTGATTGATTTAGAATATTTTTTTCGGAAAAGCTGAACTGGTGTCTTGTAGTATTGGGTGTTGAATTGGTTTTTGGCTTGTAGTAGTAGCAGTAGGCTGGTGGTAGAAGGCAATTTGGGACCAGAAGCAACATCTTGTAGCGGGGTCAGAAAGCTTGGTAAGATGTGAGGAAAAGCAAGGAGTGGAGGTGGGTTCCAGGCAAAATGTCATTTTTGGAGTGGGTTATGTAAAATCATCTCTTTCACGCTGTGAAAATGAAATCTGTCTTAATTATCACCTGAATATAATGATCCAGGGACTTGGAGAATTTTGGCAAACTGTGCCTCTAATAGGGGAGGAAAAACCCCTCTGTGGGCCACTTCTGACAGGGTGTCTCTGCTGTTTGCTTCAATATTGTGAAATTTAATTTAAAAGCACTTGATCTGTATTTGCTAAGGTTGCAATAACACCTTCTTGAGAGGACATGCAACACAAAATTTAAATGTGTGTTAAAAAAATCTCAGACACAACTACTGTGATGTTTAAGAGGATGTGAATGGCTCTGCAGACCGAGCAGTGTCTTGGCATATTTTTAGGTAATAAACACAAGATGTTGCGTGCAACTGGTTATTTAACACATTTCTTTCCTCTCCCTCCCTCTCCAAGGGCATATTTCCTGCCTCCTATATACATCTGAAGGAAGCAATCGTTGAAGGCAAAGGGTAAGTTTGATTTGAAAAGAACGAAAATCCGTTTTCCTCTTTGTATTGATGTAATTTTGGTGTACTAACAAGTGACTTAGGCTTGTTTCCAGTTAGTCAAGGAGCTGCTGATGGAAAATGTGTGTGTTCGGTGTTTAAAATGTTTTAAATTATTAACTCACCTCACATGGAAGATGGTGTCACATCAGCAGAGCTGGATGGGGCTGCCTCGAGCTAAAGCATAACCTTCTCTCTATTCATGGAATTAATAATTTATCATTTCTCTTTGTAACTTTTATTACTGTCTAGACTAATAATTACCTAGATTAACTTCCTCTATTCCTCCATCCCTACCTTCTGCTTTAGTCCAGTGTCAGTTTTCCCAGCTTCTTTTATCTTGCAGCCCTTGAGTCTTATGGCTTCTGTCTGGTGTGTTAAAGAGGCCTTTGATATGAGACACCTTTCTTTTATGCACATGAAATTGAAGTAATTTCTTTATTTTTCTTCAGTTAATCTTGTAGACTGGTCTCCTTGCTGAAAACCATTATCCAGGCATTGTTTTCTGCCTTACTGAGAAGTTATTTTGTGTCCTCTTCCCATCCCTGGCACGTTCAACACTAAATATTTGAGGTGCATTTATTATTTAACAGCTGTTCAGATCCTAATATGTCAAATCTGCTTTACTGGACACGCATGTAAAAGTTGCTAACATTGATATCAAAGTTTAGTTAAAAAACAGGAAAAAAACCCAACCAAATCCCAGAGAAGAAAAAAAGGGAGTGAAATTATTAAATAATTACCCAGGTATGAAATGGAGTGAAACAGGATTAAAATATTTTATTCCTTTGTGCCTGACTTATTTTTACACACCGTTAAATATGTAAATGATCAAACTTCTAATCATGAGATTGCTGCATAATGACATCTTTCTCCCTGATTACAAAACTGCCTTTAAGTACCCTACTTTGGAAATATTAAAAGATCTAGTTGGTGTTTCTTACTTTCACAATTTTAAAACAAGTCATACAGAAACTCTGTGGTGAGAACTTGAATGCCTGAGTTTTCATTGCAAGACCAATATATTGAGGAAAAAACCAATTACAGATTAGTATTGTTGTGTTGTAGGTTGTGTATATGTGGCTTTTATCTGGCTTCTGGTAAAATAAATGTCTCAGGAATAGATGTTTTGGTAAGGTGTGTCTTGATATCCTTGTGAGTATGGAAATAAGGAGAGGGTGGGAAAAGTTTACAAGGAAATGAAGTGATAGGACAAGGGGGAATGGCCTTAAGATGAAGAAGGGAAGGTTTGGATTAGGTATTGAGAAGAAACTGTTCCCTGTGAGGGTGGGGAGGCCCTGGCACAGGTTGCCCAGAGAAGCTGTGGCTGCCCCATCCCTGGAAGTGTCCAAGGAAGATTGGATGGGTCTTGGAGCAACCTGGGCTAGTGGAAGGTGTCCCTGCCCATGGCAGATCTTTAGGGTCCCTTCCAACCCAAACCATTCTGTGGTTCCATAGTCTCAGCCCATCCAAGTACCCTTTATGTTGTGTGTCCGTACTGGTTTACCTCTTCAGTATCTCATAACATCATCTTTTTGCTTATAAATTTATAGTAAATGATGTTACTTTCAACCTTGTATTATTGTCTTTGGAAATGAACAGTTCCTTCTTAGGAATGGTTCTGGATTAGATGATTTAGATTGGACATTAGGACAAAAATTTTCACAGGAGAGGTTGTCCAGCCCTGGCACAGCTGCCCAGGGCAGTGTTTGAGTCACCATCCCTGGAAGTGTTCGAAACATGTGGATGTGGCAGTTGAGGACATGGTTTATTGGTGAACATGATGGTGCTGCTGGTTGGACTCGATCTTAAAAGTCTTTCAGACCTTAAGTTTCTGTGATTGTGTGTTCTCACTCAAAAGTACTACTTAATTCAGCCTTTTTTTCCCTCCACCTCCTCAGCCAACACGAAACAGTGATCCCCAACGAGCTCCCCTTGATTCAGGAGGTCACCACCACGCTCCGGGAATGGTCCATAATATGGAGGCAATTATATGTTGTAAGTAACAACTGAGGAAAACATTTACACAGGTAATGGTTTATGGAAAGAGTAGTGCTGGGAAGGGAGAAGAAGGAAGGAACTACTAATGGTGAAGGAAGTATTAATGCAATTCCCCTTCTCTTACTATTTCTAGTGACTACTTGTAGTATTGAAAAGCTCTTCAGCATCTTCTCTGTTAAAGCAGAAAATCTCTGTAGAGATTCTCTTGCATGTTTTCTCAAATCCCATGTATTTATTGTGCAGAATCAGTTTTTTAGAGTGTTACCTTGATCTAGGAATAATTTGTTAAGCAATTATGACCCATTTTGCATGGGGGTTCTGTTATACAGAATACATTGGATTTTTAAGATGTAGACAGATTTGGAATAATCTAACATATAATAATATTAATTAAGAAAATAGTTTTCAGGGCAGTTCGTAAGGCTGTCTATGTTATGAAGTAAATGAATATTTAATGTTGAGTTTGCAGATGTAAACTTAAACCTTTGTAAAATCATCACTGTAGGCCTTTTTCCTCTCAGTATTTTCGTACTTGAAGTTAATTGTTCCCAGTTTATCCCGACCTTTAAGTTACATACCTGATTATTTTCATGTACTAAGGTTCCAAGCACATAAGAATATATTCTTAGGAATTTATAGTAATAAGCACTGATAGTCTCTCAGATGGGAAAACAGGAAAACACAGATGCAAGTGCAAATAAGTAAGGTCAAGAGTTTAAACTTACACCTAAAAGTGCAATTCAGATGCAAAGCAACACCTGCTGTGAGATTTAAGGTGCCCTGGCTCACGCTTCTCATGTTGCAAGGTCACTGTAACAAGATAATGGGAACATGAAAGTCTTTTATTTAAAGTAGGATTTAATTCAGAGTGTGTTTCCTATAAATGTGTTTGAAATCTTCTATCATAAAAGTGCAAGCTGGGTAATGAAGGCACCAACTGGAAATGAAGATGTTTGTGTTGACTAATGTGTTTTTTTAATCACACCCATGAAAATAAAGATTAGAAATACAGTGTAATGGAAATGATGCAGTGTTGCAGAGTAAAGGAAGAAGGATAATATCTTACATGAAGAGAAGCAGATTGTATATTAAAGAGAGCTTTAACATGATGTTATAGTAGAGAGGTTGTGCTGAGGAGCAAGGAAGAAGTAGGGAGGCAGAAGCAAAGCAGGAGGAACAGAGTCTCAGAAGGGCACTGAGAACAGCCTTGCCCTTAGTTCCATTGCTATAGAATCATGGAATGGTTTGGGTTGGAAGGGACCTTAAAGCTCATCGAGTTCCACCCCCTGCCATGGGCAGGGACACCTTCCACTAGCCCAGGTTGCTCCAAGCCCCGTCCAACCTGGCCTTGGACACTTCCAGGGATGGGGCAGCCACAGCTTCTCTGGGCAACCTGTGCCAGGGCCTCACCACCCTCACATGGAAGAATTTCTTCCTAATATCTAATCTAAATCTTCCCTCCTTCAGCTTAAAACTGAATTCCCCCTTATCCTCACACTCCATGCCCTGTGGGCTGCTGAGGACACCGAGAATTACATTTTGACCTGATGTCCTTCTTGGGGGATTATCCTGAGTATGAAGTCTGGTATTTCCTAATGTCAGAGAAATGCTGCTTTCTGAACCACACAAGACCTCATTGCAGTGCACATATAATAGGAAAGAAGGAATAGCAGAGAAGCATTGTTAGGAGTTTTCTTCCCATGACAAGTGTGCTTTTTTTAGTAGTAAATATTCTCCTTGCTGTTAATTTTTAACATCTCGTTTGTCAGCCATTTATGTCCATGAACACATGTGACAGCTACACCTTTTGGAGTGAGTCCAGAAGAGGTCATGAAGTTGATTAGAGGGTTGAAGCATCTCTCCTACAGGGAAAGGCTGAGAGAACTGGGAGCCTGGAAAAGAGAAGGCTTTGGGGTGAAATATTAGTGTGACCTTCCGGGACCTGAAGGAGCCCACAAGAAAGATGGGGAGAGACTATTTGCAAGGGCCTGGAGTGACAGGACGAGGGGGAATGGCTTCAAACTGATAGGGAGTAGGTTTCCATTGGATTTTAGGAAAAAATTCAAGGCAACCCCTGTCACAGCTTTTCTCTGGGTAGATAGATCATGAGTTTGTATCTCAAGGATATCTGTTGGATTAATTGCATGTGGTCAGCTGCCAGAAAGAGCACTGGTGCAGTGGGATTGCTTTATCAGGGGAGCTTTGTTTTGCTGGAGGTAGCTGGTTTCAAACTGGGTAATCTGCAGACTACACAGACATTCCATGTTGTCCATATCTTGCGTATCTAAAACCATTAAATGGGCACATTTATGCCTTTATTCGGTTTGTCATTTGAGTTTAAATATTGAATGGATACTCAGCTTTCATTTCCACAAAGCAGAGGACGTGGCATGTTTTCCCTCTCCCCAGTTTATGATTTCCTGCAGCATTGAAAATCAGGAACCACTTTCCCATTTGGATTTGTCTGTATTTTGCTCCCAGCCATATGTGCCTCTTGTGTCTTTCTCTGCTACATTACAGAGCTTTTAATAATGGGTATTTTCTCACTGTGAAGGTTCTCCCACTATAATCAAGGCAGCTTTTGGATAATCTGAACAGACTGAAGTCTTTAAGTTTCACAGTTAGCTATCCTTTTTCCCAGAGTCTTGGAATCATTATGTTCTTTTCCTGCATCTTCTGCAGTTTTTCTTTATCTCTTATATATAGTGGGAATTTTATTGTAATTATTTAATTATTCTTAGGTTAGCTGAGTGTTTCCAAGTGAAGTTTGTATATACTGCTGGCACTGTTTAATATCCACAGTTCCAGGCTTTAAAAATAATTTAGGTATTTAACTTCCTATGAGGTTTAATGTTTTCCTGTTTTTTCACTGTCCTTTAGCTGTTACCTGTACTGATGTACCTGACTTTGCACCCTGAGGGATTTTAAAGTGTTGTTCTGAAGGTTTAACTAGGGAGGGGAAGGATTCTCCAATCTGTTGCAGATGGACTTTTGCAGAACTTGAGCCTCTTGCTGTTAAAATGAACCATTTTTAGTCCTGTTCTGCTCAGGACAGAGAATCATTGAATAAAGTTACCTGTGAATATTCCCCTAGAATGCCTGAAGACAGCATGACCCAGGTTTTAAGGTGTCATAAACATAAACTTTTACACCCATTTAGAACCCTAAAGCTGAATGTCAGACTCTGTATTCGGTGTTCTGTGCTATAAAAAATTAAGCTCCCATTTTAGAGCTGTTGTAGACTTTTACCCTTTAAATTCATGTTTTATAATTGCAATTAATTCTGTGTATTTAAAAGGGCTTCACAACTAACTTCTGCCCCTCTTTTCCCTTCCAACAGCAGGACAACAGGGAAATGTTCCGCAACGTGAGGCACATGATTTATGATCTCATTGAGTGGAGATCCCAAATCCTGTCTGGGACACTGCCCCAAGATGAGCTCAAGGAACTGAAAAAGAAAGTGACTGCCAAAATTGATTATGGCAACAGGTTTGTGAATGGTATTCTCCAAGTTTTTGTGCTTTTATTCCTGTTTTTATGGAGATGTGATAGTTGTATATTAACAGCTCTGTTAAAGCAATGTAAAGATTGAAGTTGATGCAGCGTCTTTATAATATGTAAAGTGGAATCCATATATCTCTCTCATGATGATATTATCAATTTGTTATTTTTAAGGGCAATTCAAAAGTGCAAGTTTTGCTTCCATTCAAAATATAACTTAAACTCCACTTGCTTCTGCAGCACAAACAGTTGTGACCCTCTCAGCACCACCAGCTGTGTGTGCCCTGGAGTCACTCAGCTAAATGTGATGGTGAAGGATTTGGCTCAGAAGCATCATTTAGCTCAGTGTTCCTCTATTTCCATGGTATCCAGCTGGTAGCAGAAGATTAACAGACAGATTTCATAAAAGAAAGTATCTATTTAGCAGAAGAGAATTGAAGTTGGGAAGAAAATATTGACCAAAACCTGTAGTTTGCATATGTTAGGTGTTTTAGTAATGTATTCTCTCTGCAAACAGTCTGGATTTAAGCAGGATTTTTTAAAATAAAAGTTGTCTGTACAGTTATAACTTTCCATTTTGATCAAAAATGAGAAATCTCGTGTTGCACTTCAGTCAGGACATTATTTGAAGCAGTGGATTGAACACTGAGAGACAATATTGTAGTGCTCCCTTCCAGTCCTACCTGTTCTGTGGGATCCTGTAGTCCTGCACACCTGGGACTGAAAAAGTTTTCACCAAACCAGTCTTTAAATCCTCTGTGATGTAAATATCTCATCAGATTTTAGCTATTTGTGTTAAATGCCTTAAGAACTGCCAAATTGGCAGTATTTGTTTGTACACTTGATCAGCAAAAGCTGTGATTTAAAAAAAAAGAAATGAAAAAAATACTCAGTGACTGCATTCAGTCAGTAATTATCATTTATAATCCAAGATATGGATGGCTGTACCTCTGTACACAATTAACCAGATGTTGTTGGTATTATTTGTTTGGCTACTGTATTTTACCATCTGTCCAAGGAGTTGGTAAAAGTTACTTTGAATAACCTCCAGATGCTCAGCCTTCAAATACAATGGAACATCTTGTGCTGTACTTTATATTCATGATGTTCTGATGGACTAATTAAGTGATCAGAATGTTCTCTGGGGGGTGCAGGAGGGAGGTGAATTCCAACTTCTGAGTAAATACTCACAACTGAAAGATAACATATGTTTCTAATAGTCCTACATTTATTGTGTCTAAAAGAGGCATGAATGGTGATTTCAGTGTCCAGACAGAAAGAATTCATTATGTGTTTTATGAATACGAAATGATCTTTAAGGTCCTTTCCAACCCAAACCATTCTAAATGTTTTCTGTTCTAATCATACCCAACCTTTTCCTGATTTGTGAAATACTGATTTGTAAATAAGATTTATTTCTATAAATAGAGCCAAACGTTTTTTACAGCATGTTGTCAGAATAACTGAGGAAGTAAAAATGGCCATAGGAATCTGTATTTTTAATATCTTTCTGAAATTGGGTCAGGTAATTTTGTTGTGAAAACATCTTTTTTTGTTCAGTTGCAAATATCTGTAACTGGGACGCTTAGGAAAAAAAATCCAGATTTTTTCCAAGCATCATTTGCAAGTTAAAGGATGAAACAAAGGAATTGAATCAAAGTGTTTGCTTTGACTTATTTGACAGTCTGTGCAAACGTTCTTGTCCCATTGGTGTTGTAGGCTGGGTGATGAGCCTTTCCCTGAATTCCTGAGGTACCATTTCCTCTGCTCCAGGCAGTTCCTCCCATGGAAGGACCCTGCAGGACTGGCAGTTCCAGCACAAGTGCTCAGTGGGTGTATCCCCTCCTGTGGCTGCTGTCCAGGAAACAGTAGTAGGGAGGAGCAAGACTATTTTGGCTGCTTTTCTGTTTGATTTCAATGATGAAACCGTTTTCTCGCTAAAAAAATTCATCTGGGAGCTTGATATTCCAGGGATGTTTGAGTTTCATGGTGGCTGCAACCAGTTACAGAGCAGAACTTGGGAGGTGTTGCTTAAAAATCTTCTGCCTTCACTCTGCAACTTGAGTGATGTTTCTCTCCCCTTGAATTAATTCAATGCAATTATTGGAGGGGTTTGTGTGTTGACCGTGCTTCAGGCTTTAACACCTCCAGGTCTCCCTCTGTGCAAGAAGGGATGAAGAGAGATCCTTTAAGTCCATGAAACTCATCTTTGTCTGCCACAGCTCCTGTTCTTTAAGTGCTTTCAGGTTCTGTCCAAGGGGGATTTACTTTCAGATAAACCACCAACCTCTGAGTGAATTATCAGACACAGCAAATGTGATTTTAAGCTCGTTGATCAAACATTTCAAACCCACAGTTACAGCAGCTCCATCATGAGAGCTGAGTGCAGAGTTAGAGGGAGAAAATAGAGACCTGGTGGATTGGGATGGAGATGAGAAGGTCAGTCTTAGGGAGAGGACCTGACTTTTTTAATCCTTGGTTCTGCTGCCAGCACTGTACCAACTTGGAAAAACGTGAAAGGTTTGTCCTAAGACTGGTTTTGATTATGGCAGAAACCTTTCTGTCTGCAGAAGGTAATCGTGGATGTTAACACCCTGCTGACCCAAATCTGGCTTCTGCTTTAAATAAAGGGAGACAATTCATACCTGCTTGGATCTCGTAGGGTTTGGGTAAAACAGGAATTTGCTGCTTTGGAGGAGGAGGAGAAGGTGGAGTGGGATGGGATGAAAGGAACTGCCTGTGGTGGGTCTGTAGTGGTTGGTTGTTCAGTGTTTGTTGGATGAATCAGAGGAGGAGACAAAATCTCTTGCAAATTTAGTTGTTTAAAAAATTACTTCCCCAGCTTTTCTGCTGTTTCGTTTACATCAGTTCTCTCTGTGCTGTGGGAATAAGTGATTTCCAGCCAGGAATGCTTATCTCCAGTGTTGGTGACATGTTAAATTACATTATCATGTATCAGATAATGTGTTTTTCTCTCATTTGTCAGATGTGCAAGTTAAACACTTGGCAGGTGATTTTTTAAGCCTTTATTTGAGCGCTGTTAATTCACAAACATATTTTCTTGTTTGCTTAGAATTCTTGATTTAGATCTGGTGGTTAGAGATGAAGATGGCAACATTTTGGACCCAGAGCAGACCAGCACCATTAGCCTTTTCAGAGCACATGAAATAGCTTCCAAGCAAGTTGAAGAGAGGCTACAGGAGGAAAAAGTAAGATACACTGAGCACTGTGGCTTTTCCCTTTCAACATAAGACTGTAAACTAATTGGATGACTGTTGTTTTTAGCATTGCAAATGAGGAATTTGATATTTTTGTGAAGAGTTATCAGGCTTAAACATTTTGTAAGAACTTGTCTGTCTTAGGTTGTTTTTTTATCTTCCTTTAAAGGATTTAGTAGAATTTATGGTCGAGATCTGTAAGTTTGTGGGAAGTAGAAATTGTGCTGTTTCCTTTCCTGTCTTTCTTGGTGCTCTGTACCTGTCAGAAAAACAGCAGGCAAAGCAAGGAACAAACTTTCTGGGTTTTGTCAAGTATATTCGAGGCTCTATTTTTTTCCTCCATATGTTTAACTCTCTTTTTAATAACTGAAGACATCTCTCTTCCCTGTTTTTTTTTTTCTTTTACTCTCTCCTTATGGTGTGGCACTTGAAGACAGATCCAGAAAACACTGTCATAAATCCTGATATAAACAAAGATCAAGAAGTAGACACTTAAAAAAAAACACCTTCTTCTGCCTGAAAGGTTTTAGGAAAGTTTTATAGCGGTAGAATATCTGTTAGGTTGAGTTAAACTTTATTTTCTTCTGTTCTTGAATTGCAGTCTCAGAAACAGAATATCGATATCAACAGACAAGCCAAGTTTGCTGCCACCCCTTCCTTTGCTTTATTTGTAAATTTAAAAAATGTGGTCTGTAAAATAGGAGAAGATGCTGAAGTCCTCATGTCTCTGTATGATCCACTGGAATCAAAATTTATCAGGTTAGTGCACTCCTCAGTGTAACCCCTAAGCTGTGCTTACTCAGTTCTAGTAGTTAGGTAGTTTTGGGGCTCATGAAAGTCAAATTTCTGTGAAAGGCACAGGCAAGTCCCTGGATACATCTGAGATTCAGGGTTGTGCTGTTCCTCATCAGGCTGTCCTGTGGTTCCCCAAGAGCAGACCTCATGTGAGAGGTGAACACACCGGCAAGGTGTGAGCCCTCCCTTAGCTGCAGAAATTCTCACACTCTGTTGCTGAGGAGTTGTTTGCTTTATAAAAATAATATACACTAAGGGAAATGCCAGCTCTCCACTACATATTCACTTGTTCAGGATAAGCAGATGGGGTTTAAAAGAGTCTTCTGTAAATTCTGAAGTTGATTTTTATCTGCTTATGTTAAAGGGCATGCAGTGATAGGACAAGGGGAAAATGGCTTTAAGCTGAAGGAGGATTAGATGGGATATTGGGAAAAAACTGTTCCCTGTGAGGGTGGTGAGGCCCTGGCACAGGTTGCCCAGAGAAGCTGTGGCTGCCCCATCCCTGGAAGTGTCCAAGGCCAGGTTGGACGGGGCTTGGAGCAACCTGGGCTAGTGGAAGGTGTCCCTGCCCATGGCAGGGGATGGAACTGGATGGTCTTTAAGGTCCCTTCCAACCCAAACCATTCTGTGATTCTGTTGTTCTATGAAATAAAAAAATAATCTCACAATACTGGTGTTTTTTTTTTTTTCAGTGAAAACTACTTGGTGCGATGGTCGAGCTGTGGGCTGCCCAAGGACATCGACAGGCTGCACAACCTGCGCGCCGTGTTCACCGTGAGTGCGGCCTGCTCTGAGGGCGCTCCCGGCAGAGCTGGGGGGCGACGGGGGGATACGATCTGCGTGGGGTTACCTCTCCTGGGAGTGCGGCTTCCTACAAAAAAAAGGCTGGAGAGGGACTTGGGACAAAGGCATGGAGGGACAGGACAAGAGGGAATGGCTTCCCACTGCCAGAGGGCAGGGATAGATGGGATATTGGCAAGGGATTCTTCCCCGTGAGGGTGGCGAGGCCCTGGCACAGGTTACCCAGAGAAACTGTGGCTACCCCATCCCTGGAAGTGTTAAAAACTGGATAGGATGGGGCTTGGAGCAACATGGTCTAGTGGAAGGTGTCCCTGCCCATGGCAGGGGTTGGAACAGGATGAAATTTAGGGCCCTTTCCAACCCAAACCAGTCAGGGATTCTACGCTGGCAAAGGCTCACATGAGGCATTTCCCATAAGTGATCCACTAAACATTCTCAACTCCAGGCTAAAGCTAAAACTGCTCTTTGAATTTTTAACATATTATAAATGGTTTGGCCTCCAAAGCAATTAATTTACACAGAAGTCAAGATAAGATGTTTATATGCTATAACAAAAACACTTTGCCTTGGTGCTAGAGGCTTGCACAGTAAAGGCAAACCTTCTGAACAGCAAACCTTCTGCCTACTGAAACGGAACTTGAAATCCAATTATTATGAAGTAACCTGGTGAAACTGCTCTTTCTAGGACCTGGGTAGCAAAGACCTGAAGAGAGAGAAAATCAGTTTTGTGTGTCAGATTGTAAGAGTTGGCAGAATGGAGCTGAGGGACAACAACACCAGGAAACTCACGTCCGGACTCCGGAGACCTTTTGGGGTGGCAGGTAACTGTGCTGGATCTGTCCATATCATCTCTTGCACAGAAACTGGGTGTGTGAAACTCCTGTGGGGTTGTATAAACTCAGAGTTGTTCCAAATGTAATCAGACTCATGTATCAAACCAATTACTGTAGCTTCCAGGACTTGTGTTAGAGGTGCCAAAGGTTATTTGCAATGTGTTGTTGTTCCATAGGAAAATTCTGAGATTACATAGTTAATAATTCTGTCCCTCTTCTGGGTTGTTCTGTTGCTTCTACTCCCCCGGGGTGTTCCCTTTGCCCCCCTCTTCCCATGTTAATCCCTTAATTCAGTACCCTTTGTTTTTCTTTGCAGTGATGGATGTTACTGACATAATTAACGGGAAGGTTGATGATGAGGACAAGCAGCACTTCATCCCATTCCAACCGTAAGTAGGAAAGAGTTTAAAGAATAGCAGAAGGGAAAATATTAAGAATTCAACTTTGATTTTTAAAAAAACAGTCGGTATTCTGAAATTAATTTATTTAGTGAGGTATTTTATTTTGAGTAGTACGTGCTAATATATCTTCTTGATTATTTCCCATTAGCCATAACTTTTGGGGTTTCTTAAGTTTGAGTTTAAAGCCTGCATTCCCAGTTTTGCAGCACTGTTTTGTTTTTATTTAAACATGGTGATAATCAGGGTGATAATATGTGAGAGTTGAAACACTTGAATAAGTTCATTCTGAGTTTATCTCTGCCTGAGATGGATAAAGACCAGCAGTGTTACCAACATCCAGTGCAGGTGACTTCTGTGGATTTAGTAAATGATAACATTTGTCTTTTCCTTGGTAGGAGATGGAATTTCATAGCCACAGTAATGAGAAGGATGGCTTGATAAACCTCCTGCAATATCTTCTCATAATTCAACTTTATCATGCCAGACTTTTACCAGAAACCTTAAATATTTTGGTGGTTGGATACACCTGCTCACAGAATCAGGGAGATCAGTGTCTACATGGACTTGGTCTTAATTCTAGTTGTCTGAAACCACAGACCTTCCCACACTGACTCTGAGCTTGTTGACATGGAATATATAGATATGTGTAGAGAAACTGCTTTTAGAAGCAAAAACTTATTAACAAATAAGAATGTGTGGGAAATACTCTGTTCCATCCATAGATCATAGGGGTTTTTGTTGTTCCATGAAGCAAGGAAAGGTAGAAGGATAAGGCAAATAAAAGTGCATAAAATATGGGTGTTTAGTTTTCCCGTTGTGGGAAATGCTGGAGTGCCATCTGTTCCAAAAGGCAAAACATAGTTATGGGACCTAAGTTCCTTGATTGATACACTAATGGTATTCAGAGGGGGTTTAATAATATTAAAAAGAAAGGAAGCTTGAAATAATGTTATCTCAAATCAACTTTATTTTGAAAAATAGGCCTAATTCAGGAAGCCCTTGTGGTTTGAAGGTGTAGGGCTGGTGAGAGGACTGCAAGACATGCAGGTGCTGCAGAAGGTGTTAATGAGAAAATCAAAGTACAATTCCATTTTGCAAGGAAACCATAGGTTTTTAGGGAAGAGTAGCATATGTTTATTGCGAGGTAAACAATAGCAAGTTTATTTTTTAGTGACTGTGGAAGTAAGCAATGAAAATGAACATTTGTGTATCAAAGTGGATGCTAATGGAACATCTAGTTTTCTGCTCCATTAACACTGATTTATTTTTTTTCTGTGTAGACAAATCAAATTTTTGGAAAAGATGTACAATGTGACTTTTTTTTTTCTTTCCCCCTGTAATAAATTTAAAACATTCTTCTGAAAAAAGTGTGTTCCAAAGAACATGAATAACGTGGAATCGCATGCTGAGCGCTGGTGTTGTTATTTCCAACGTAGGCTTATGCTGTTCATATGAGCCACATTTTTCTCCTCATTCCATGCTTTGTTTCTGTTGTACCACACACAATTCTGTTTTCACATCTTTGTTTGTTTGTATTCATTCACTAGCCACCGACACATTGGCTGTCAAAAGCACTTGGCGAGATTACTTCAATGCCACTTAATGCTGCTGTTTATTTATAGTTCCCATCTTTCCATTTATTCCCCAAGTTTAACAGAACGTTTGGGTTATCTGCTTTTCTCCTCCTTTTTCTGTGAGATTTATGGTAGCTTTTCCTTCAGACACCCTGCACTGCTGCTTTACCTGTGGAATGGCAGAGGTGCCCCTGGAGGTGTTGCAGGGCCAGCCTGCTGTATATATGTATTTATATTAAAGGGAAAACTGCCTGTGTAGGTTTTCACTGCTTAACTGGGGGTTCTGAGGTGGGAGACCTTCCTCTGCTCACGGAGGAGGGCAGTGGGTCTGTGCATGTCCCTGAGGGGAGCAGTAACATGCCAGGTGTGCTGTACTCTCTGGTAGACCAGCGTTCTTCTGATTAATGATCTTCCTCTGTCTTTCTTGTCACCTTTCCTGTCCTCTGTCTTGCGTTGACTAATAAACACTCTTTGTCACAACTATGATACGATCTTTTGTGTTCCCTTGTCACTGTGACTTCTGGTTTTCTGTGCCCCTTTGTTTCCTGGTGTTGGTCGTCATGTGCATCCTCCAGGCTAGCGTTGGATGACGCCATTCGACACAAGCAGCTGAACATATCATCCCGTTTTTCACCCAGGGTGGCAGGGGAGAATGATTTCCTTCAGACTGTTATAAACAAAGTGATTGCTGCTAAAGAAGTCAACCACAAGGGTCAGGGTAGGTGCCTTTCTTTATCTACACCCCAGTGCCTAAAACTGCTCGTCTCCTGATTTGCAACATGATGATGATTTGAATTTTGCTTGTTCACTGCTCTTTGGTGACAGAAAAGGTGTTGGCATGACTCCTCCCACCTTCAGGGCTCATCCTGATATGCCCCCCTGCCCTACATCTTTTCCCCCTGCCCCACGTTGACTCTACAGGATGCATCACTGTTCATGTCTTGGATGTCTTTATGTTTCTACTGGAGCTACTGGAGAGATGATTAGGGGTCTGGAGCATCTCTCTTATGAGGAGAGACTGTGGGAACTGGGCCTCTTTAGTGTGGAGAAGAGAAGGCTGACATGGGATCTCATCAGTCCATATAAATATCTCCAAGGGATATCAGAGGATGGTGTCAGACTCTTCTCAGTGGTGCCCAGTGACAGGATGAGGAGCAATGGCCATAAACTAAAACACAAGAAGTCCCACTTCAACATGAGGAAGAACTTCCTTCCATTGAGGGTGGCAGAGCACTGGAACAGCTGCCTAGGGAGGCTGTGGAGTCTCCCTCTCTGGAGACATTCCAAACCCACGTGGATGTGTTCTGGTGTCACCTGCTCTGGGTGACCCTGCCTTGGCAGTGGGTTGGACTGGATGATCTCCAGAGGTCCCTTCCAACCTTAACAATTCTGTGATTCCATGCTGGAAATTATGACTCAGGAGTTGGCCGTTGTGCCCTTAAGCTGTGGATTTTGGCCTCCTCATGTGAAAGGGAGAGGTATATTCTCTTCCTTCTTTTCCTTTGCCCTATTTTTCCACTCTGCAGCTGCACTTGCAACATTTGGCTCCCTCCCAGGAAGACCAGGGCATTGTTCCTGCAGCACTACCCCCACCTGAGCCTGCAGGTGGTGAGGATGGAGCCCGAGCCCTCTCAGACCTGCAGTGGTACCTTCTCTTAGGGGCTGCTCAGAATTCAGTGTACACAGCTGGCATGAAACTCAGCTTCTCAAGTCTGGCTTGGTTTATTCTTGTGTGTATACAAAACTTCATGATCTGTCCAGTTATTACTGGCTTCAATATTTTCCTGGGATTCTGGATTAATACAGAGTTATGCAAACTAATGCAGAGTTTTCCCCAGACACTGTGTTTCACTATATCACTTAAGCCATATCTGCACAAGAGACCCAAGGAAGATGATATACTTTTTCCTGAATTTTTTTCTTTACTAATTAATAGCAGATAAAAATCTACATAAACCTTATTTTTGGATTATCCTTTAGCTAAAGAGGAAAATTTAGATCTGCTTTTCCTCCCCTTGTTTTCACGTACAGCCAGTGTGTATCAGAAAGGAGGAAACGTTTCAGCTTTTTGGATTCATTTCAGATTCCTTCCCTAAAAAAAAGAAAGAAATGCCCAAGCAAAGAGGGAAAGATTGAGTTGTTCCTTACCCAGTCAGTGCAGGTACAGTTGCTGTTTGGTGAAATAGCTGCTGTCAGAACCATCTCTGGCAGCAAGTCAGCACAGAGCCTTTTACAGAGATAACACAGAGGAGACAGCAAGCTGCCAACTGTGTACAAAATGAATGTACAGTTAATTGTGGTGCAGGATAACCCACAATTTGTTTCATAGATGGATATTTTTGGGGTGTTTTTCATAGATTTTAATTTGAGGATTTTCCTCTGCAAATTGCTGCTGTGATTATTTCATGCTTAAACTTGATTGCCAGTCACTTTACCAAGTGGAAGACTTTTTGAGGTTGGTTTTTTTTTTTTATTTTTATGGTTTTTTTCCATTTTGGCATCTTTCTTTTTACTGTACCAAGTATGCCTGATGTTAGTTGGCAAAGCAGCAGCTTTTTAGTGGCTTCTTTTGCTTCTGAAGAGAAAAATATCAGCTGTGTAAAACTGATGCTGTAGATTTCTCTGTGCTCAGAGCAGTAAAAACAACTTATGGGGTGGTGGTGATGAATCATTTTGGGGTAGGGATCTGCTGGTATTCCTTGGTTATAATACTTTATTTTTCCATGCAAATCATTGTTGCCTCTTTTCTTTTTTCCAGTTCAGTTTCATCAGAAACACTGGAACGTAATCAGACGTGCTTCTGTGTGCTTCACTCATATTTTTGCTTGAAGTGGCAGGAGTTTTTTGAGTGTTTTAAAATACTTTGTGTCCTAAATGTTATCTTAATGTGTCTTAATTATTTGAATGTTCTTACATTTTTTTCAATTTGTAAAAAGAAATCTTTAGTAACTAGGAATAAATCCCACCAGTTTAATAATTGTGGGTTTTTTTTACGCAACAGGTTTGTGGGTGACTTTGAAACTTCTTCCAGGAGATATCCATCAGATTAGGAAGGAGTTTCCACACTTAGTGGACAGGTCAACAGCTGTGGCTCGGAAAATGGGCTTTCCTGAGATTATTATGCCTGGTAAGCCAGTATGAATTAATGCTTTGTTATATTTTAACCTGCTTTACATGTCTGTACGTGTGGAAAATTTGGGGAGAAATGAAAAAATAAAAAAATTGACGTATGTTGCATATTAGAAAAAAGGGGTCATCAAAAGATTTTGTCTCCAATAAATGTAAAATATTTAGTAATACCTGCCACATGTGCTGCATCAATAAATAAAAGTACCACTCCCTCCAAAAAACCATGAAATCCCAGTGGCTGTGGAAATTCTCCTTTTTTTTCCAGTGAAAAAAAAAAAAACCTATACAAAGTGCACGCTTTATATCATCCCCATAGCAAGGGCACATGTAAAACTTATCTCCTGTGATGAATCCAAACCTGAAACAGTTTTAGAGGAACAGGCTTGATTTAGAGATATGCAAGTCTCTTAAGGTCTGTACCAGATTTAGAGAATGTATTTGAAAGAAAGCTGAATCATCTTTATTTAATATGTGCGTTCAGAGGATGTTTAATTCAGGTGTTTACCAAAAAAAAAAAACCCCACAAAATGGAACGTGGTGCTTCTCAAAATAAAACCTGCCACAAGCAAGGGCAGAACCCTGCACTGTCCTCCTCAGATTGATGGACTCTAGAGGATCCATGAGATGTTTCCAAAGCCCATCCCAGTGCCAGGTCTCCCTGTGGTTGCTGGCAGATGTGTTTGTCAGATGTTTTACTCTCTATCCCGTATGGTGGAAGTGCCTCAGCACCTTGTTTTGATCATATGTTGGCACATAAACCATCTGCCTCGGGAAATTATTGGAAATCCCTCGTTTCCCCAGTTAATTTGCAAAATTTCAGTTGAATTGGGGTGTAGCTGAAGAGCATTTTAAGACATAAAGCTAAAAATAACCCTCCCCTGCAACCCCCAAACCAGTGAAAACATCAAACCACTTCCCAATGTAACAAGTTAAACAGAACTCTGTAGGCTGTTAAATATTTTTAAATTGCAAAATAACTGGGCATGGACTAAATTTACACCTGTGTGGAAACTGATTCTTACAAATGAATAATGAAAACTGTGTAAAACTAAAACAGGTGGAACTGGTGTTTTAAATGTTTTGCCACGTGTAAATCTGATTGTTGTTTCTGTGTGTCACTGGTTTCACAAATCACTGGGTTTACTGTGAAAATTGTGAATTACTTTGTGCTTTGCTCTGCCTTTCAGGTGATGTTCGGAATGACATCTATGTCACCTTAGTTCAGGGAGATTTTGACAAAGGCAGTAAAACCACAGCAAAGAATGTGGAAGTTACAGTGTCTGTTTATGATGAAGATGGCAAGAGATTAGAGGTATTAAAGTATTTAATGGCTGGGCCTTTTGATTTTGATACATATCTGTTTAAGCCTTTTCTACGTCTTTTTCTGTACTTGTCAGCTGAAGTCCCAATTTTTATTTTCAACCACACTTGCTCCTTTGTCATAATTAAATACATCTTGCCATATCAGTGATGTCCTTTGATATTAATTTCATGAGGAGCTTTGAGCAAGAGCCATTCTGTCTTATTTTGACCTACTTCACTGATTTTTGTTTTTTGTTTTGTTTATTTGAATGAAAAAGACAAGTTTGAGACATACAAACACTTTCTCTTTCGTTTGTGTTTTGAAGAGTGTTATTTTTCCTGGTGCTGGTGATGAAGCCATCTCAGAGTACAAGTCAGTGATCTATTACCAAGTAAAGCAGCCTCGCTGGTTTGAGACTGTAAAGGTATATAAACTCTTAAAATAACTTTCTCTGTGTGTTAATATGCATTAAATATATATTTCAGTGAGAAGGCTTGAGAAACAAAACTGGGGAAATTCAGTGCTGGTAGTTGTGTTTAGCAGGACAAGGAATAGTTCAGCTAAGGAAGGATTTGACTTTTATTGCATATTGAACTTTATTTCATCCTTTGGTCAACTGTTGTGGGGGCCCTCCAACATCTCTTTAGGAATGGTTTTGCTTTATTTCCATGGAGCTGACCTAGAGAGGCAGAATATTAAGGTTAAAACACAATTGCCATAGCATTGAACTCATCACTGTTTTGGGATCTGTCTGATTGTGCTTTAAGCTTGGTCCATTTGCTTGGCTAATAACCTTTTCACTTCAATGCCAAGTTTGGATATTACAGAGGAGGCTGATGTTGGCTGCATAAAATACATCCTGTCTGGCTGTAGGCAGTGGGAGCAGGGTCTGTGTGCTGGGAAGGGACTTAGAGCTACTCCCCACAACATCGTTTTGAGTCCAAAGGTGCTTTTGTTGAGTCAGTGAGACAGAAAGTGGCAGAAACCCAGATGTTCTGCTGGGATTTTTAAACATTAATCTGTTTGGAAGTGTCAGGTGTCTTGCTGGAAGATGTCTAGGTGAGATTTTGGGTGCTGTACTGACTTTTTCCTTCCTCCATCCTCTCTCCCGACGCGTGAAGGTCGCAATCCCCATCGAGGACGTGAACCGCAGCCATCTGAGGTTCACCTTCCGCCACCGCTCGTCACAGGACTGTGAGTAGCTCAGCCTCTTCATTATGGCTCTTGTCACTGGTGCCAAAATCTCCTCAAACAGGCATAACATTCCCAAGCTGTAACTGGCTGTTGCCATTTTAGTGCAGGATTAAGTTTCTTGCCTGCTTGTTTTATGCCTCTTTTCCGCTTTACGCCTTCCTCACTCTTACCTGTCCACAGCAAGTTTTTCCTTTCCTGACCATTGTTTTCTCCAAATCAAATGAAAAGGAGCAAGTGGAATTTATTACTAATGGAATAAATCTTTCCATTAGTAACTCAAAGGGGTTGTGGTATTGTATCTCTTAGAGGTAGGTGGGTAGAGAGTAGTAAAAATATTTACCAATGGTTATGTGAAAGAGTTTACAGTTAGCTTAGCATCAGAAATTAAAGACTTTGGGATTATGAAGTTTGATTAATAAAATATTTACTTAATTCAGAGGATGATAGTTGCTAAGGAAAACAATGTGCCAAAGTCAGTGTCATAAGTGTCAAAATTATGACTGTGTGCTACAAATTAGTGGAGTTAGAAATGTTTTTATGACTCAAATATTTAGGTTGGCCACAGTCTAAATAATAAAAAGAGGTCATTCCTTAGGGCTGCAGGGCTTTCTCACAGGCTCCTTGGGCTGTCTCAGGTTGATTGCACTTTCCTTCTGGTTTTACTTCGTAACTTTGTGATCTCTACTTGTCCTGATGCTTTGTTTTTATTTAACTTTTGACAGTTGGTTTTGAACAATGAGAGCAAACAATGCATTTTCTAGTTCATGTTGCTGTAGAGTGGGTCAGTTTTCAGAAGCTTAGGCACTTCAGCTGTGTAATTATGGATCCAATTTCTGTTTTGGATCTCATGTTCCCCCTTCAAATGTCTGTTGTCAGGGCTCTGTGCCCTGACATCCTCAGTGCTGATCTTTAAATCCTCGTTCTTGCTTCCAAACACTGCCATTCTTCTAAAAAACCTGGACTTTCTAAATGTGTCACATTGCAGTTTTATTTTTAAAAAGTTGCCTTAATAAAGCTTTTGGAAAGAACAGATAATATAGAAATATGAAGCATCTGGTTACTGTTGAAGCATCTGGTCAATTGATGTGTTTATTTTGCTTTTTTTTTTGGCTCTATCTCATGTTTAGAAGACTCTCCTAATTCCTTGTACACTTTGTTCATAGGAGAATCTTTGCTATGATCACCCACATCTTTGAGATTTAGGTGTACTGTCTGTAGAAGTATCAAATACTTAATTTTGTGGTGATTTGTCTTTTTTCTTTTTTGTAACAGCCAAAGATAAATCTGAGAAAATATTTGCCCTGGCGTTTGTGAAGCTCATGAGATATGATGGGACAACTCTGAGAGATGGAGAACATGACCTTATAGTTTACAAGGTAGAATTTTGACTTTCCATAGCTCTGCTGACTGACTTCTGTTCCAGAATTCCCCAGAAAAATGTGTTCTAGACTGTTCTGTAGATCAAACAACTAAATAGCGAGTACTGTGCAGTTTGTGTGTGTGGCAGATTGAGGATTAAAACTTGAATATGTTTTTTCTGGGCATTTTAATTTCAAAGGCACTTGTTACTTAGTTCCGTGTGGGTTGGGAGAAGTTACTTCTGTAGCTCTTTTAAATAATCACATCTTGTCTCTTATCTTGGTGCTAAATTTTTGTTGTTAAAGACCCACTGAATAGCTCCAAAACCTAAGAAAATCCACTGTAAATGTTAAAATTTTATTATTACCAAGGTTTTTACTTGATATTTTCTCGTGTTTAAAACATCACTGCAGGCAGAAGCCAAGAAGCTGGAGGATGCCTCGACCTATCTGAGTCTGCCTTCCACCAAAATAGAACTGGAGGAAAAGGGACACTCAGCAACAGGGAAGAGCATGCAGAACCTTGGGAGCTGCACCATCAGCAAAGACTCTTTCCAGATTTCTACTCTAGTTTGTTCAACAAAACTTACCCAGAATGGTGAGTTCATGGAACTGCTGGAACTTCTGCTCCTCACAGTAGGAGTTGGGTTCTCTGTGCTGACTTCCCTGCCTTCTCCATGCCCCTTCCTCTGTGAGTGGATGGTGGTTGTTTGTCTTGAATTACGTTGTCTGGGTGCAGCAAAAGCATCTCCTGAGTTTGTGTGTTATCCAGCCTTTGTTTTGCTTTAAAGCAGTACAAGTCTCTGAGCAAACAGAAGAATCCCAAGTTAAATGGGAACAGGGATACTGTTTGCCATATAGCTGAGACTTTTATCCTGAAATACACTGCAAACAAGCTCTGTGGGATTGCACTTTTCCTTGGCTATGAAGGATAGCACTAAGGGAGAGGGGGAGTTTGCTTTCAAGGGGAGGTGATATCACAGCTCTGCTCCCAAATAAGCTGGTTTATGTTATTTCCAAGGTGCAATACCCAGCTCTTACACCCGGAGAAAGCTCTGATGTTTTCTCCTCTCATGCAGAAGGGATGTGAACATGAGAATGTGTTGCATGGAGGTCACTCTTAGGTTCACACACGAACACAGGCTGCTGGCAGTGGAGTTGGCATATTTTGCTTCTTTTAAATAAAACTTGCCTTCTCTACATTTTTCCTGTGCATTCGTCAGCTGGCTCAGTGCACCCAAAGCCTGGGGAAGTCAGAGCTGATGGCAGCCACCAAAGCAAATATTTCACATTTGCAGACTGTGCCCTCTGTGTAATTTTTGTGCTTGGTTGCCATGGAGTGATCCCTTGTTCTCGTGGCTGCTCCAGCAGCAGACTGGGAGTGTGGGTGGGTGGGTCATTGAGCCGGGAGTGAGTCATTCCAGGGAACGGGATCGTTCTGTCGTGACTCAGGAGAGGGGATGGATCAGCTGGGAGTTGAGCTTGTGCACGAGGGGAGCTTGGGATGGGGGGGTGGGTGGGAATAATGATGAGATTGGCACGTTAATGAGTTTCCCTGTGTCCAGGGGGAATACCACTGACAGGGAATGCCACTGCTCGGGTACAACTTGGGAGGCAACTCCGAGTTTATTGCGGTGTTTCCAGTGGTGTTTATTCCGGTATTCCGGGTGTTTCACATGCAGAGCACATCGGATCCACTGCAGCCTGGCAGGCTCCGAGCCTAAGAGGGCGTTTAGCAAAAAATCGGGATATGCTTTTAGGATTTCAGAGCAAAGATGGGATCGTAGCTCCACAGCAACGCACTGGGAATGGGGGCTGTGGAACACAGGAACCAGCACATAGGATTGAGCTGCTTTTTGTGATATTGGTGTTGTTTTTCCCCTCAGTCTTCCCTGGTGCTTGTTAGTAATTAGAGGTATTTCATGGTGATCAATATATTGATGTTGCCTTCACAACACTGCTGTTAAAATTAAGACTGAGCATTGTTTTCAGCCTTAATTTACATGTAGTTTGCTTTGAAGGTCTGATCTTTGTTTAGTGTTGCTGTTAATTATGTTGTCTGTGAAACTTTTCCTCCAAGTTGCCAAAGTCTTGTCTTTTCTTCAGAGTATTCTGACATTGTTAAACAAGATCACCGCATGTCCTTGAGTGGTTTAGAAAAGAAGCAAACAAAAAAATCATCATTAAATTCCTCCCTCAAGTATGAGTTTTCCTCTGAAAGTTGGCAGTGCTCTTCACAGGACAATTTCTGAAGCCGATTTTAAGTTTTGGAAAATTGTTGTTTAATAATTCTCCTTTAATTTTCTTAAAAATAAGTCAGTAAAAACACATGGTTATCCTCATTTACCAAAATGTTCAGCCAAAACACATTTTTCTCCTTTTGCTCATCTATAATAGTTCTTTCTTCCCCCCTGCAAGCATCTTAGAATTGGCTTTAAGACTAAATTTTAGTAATTCTGAAAGTATGTGAATAAATCACTTTGCTTTTTCTGCGTGGCATTTGATGGTGCAAAGTACTTCAGTTCTCTATAATCTTTAAAGTTATTAATGTTGCCTTTCATTAGTCTCCAAAATAAGAAACTGGTAAGAATTCAGCTTTTTTTTTTTTGCTTTTTTTTTTTGAGAGAGCAATATATGAATTACTACTTAATTAACTTGAGCAGTTGTCAGTGATTTGAGGCAAAAGATGATAGAGCAGCACATTCCATAGCCTTTTCCTGGATTTTGCATTGAATTTTTGGAGGAATAGTGATGTAAGACAAAGAGGAGAAGCCCATACCCCCAGGGCCTGTGGAAGTAAATCCTGGTGGTGCCTTTTCCAGGAGTAACAGGATGGATGTCCTTTTATTAACAGGGTGTTGGGAATAGAAACTGATATTGCTGGAAAAATGTCCTGTTTACCAGTAGCCAGGAGCTGGTGCTCTCCCCATGGATTTGCTGTGGTGAAGGATCCAGGGCACCTCTAAGGCTTATTCAGAGAATTCCTATCTTTTCTTTTCTGCCTGAAGGACTCAAACCTCTAGATAATAGTGACTGTTACTTAACTGGAGTCAGGACTTTGAGGAACCAAGGAGACCAGGCTGTTGGAAAACAGTTGAGAGGAATTTGGCTAAGTCAGTCAGCACAGCTGATAATTAAAAAAAAACCAAAACAACACACAGTGTGACAAATTCAGGTGCTGTAGTGGCATAAAAAGTGAAGCTGTAAGTATAGAATTAAAATAAAAGTCATAAAATGGAAAATCAAATGTTAAAGAAGAAGGATAATTTCAAAGAACGAGTGGAAATTTAATTTGACTGGAAGTATTATCTAAGTGCAGTGACTGGGCTTTGAGAAGAATTTGGGTACATCTGTAGGGAAACCTTTGCATGGATACAGGTCAAGGAAAGTAGGTAACCAGGAACTTGGGCTGTTTTCTTCCAACTGTAAGTGCTGTGCAAAGGACAATCCCGAATGGAGTCAATATAACAATAAATCACATTAATAAAGCAAAGTTGTTCTTGGGTACTTGGCATTCTGGATGTTTGTTTAAACCCTTTGCCGTTGGAAATCACAGAATCCCAGACTGATTTGAGTTGGAAGGGACTTGAAAGCCCATCCAGTCCCACCCCCTGCCATGGGCAGGGACACCTTTCACCAGCCCAGGCTGCTCCAAGCCCCGTCCAACCTGGCCTTGGATGCTTCCAGGGATGGGGCAACCACAGCTTCTCTGGGCAACCTTGTTCTGTCTTCCTGATGTTTTCTAATCTCACATTTCACTTGACCTGGGCTGACTGCAATATTCTTATTTACTGCATTCTTTCACTGTATTACCTTACACAGACCTACAGAGTGGGATTCACTGAGTGACTGGTGCTTTGCTGGGGTTTTAGTGCTTGCACTAATAGAGTGAATGCCCATTTTTTCTGTACTCTGTATCTTATTTTTCTCTTCCTGGAAGTTGGGCTGCACTGACATTTTCTGTGCACATATGTATATTCATTTAGCATTTGCTCTGTCATCACGCTGAGAGTACACGTGGATTTGTTTTCTTGGGGCAATCCATGATGCTCTTTGGAGTTTGTCTGTGGGCTGGCTTTTGTTCAGATCATTTCTTCTGTCAAGCTGATGCCTTGTTAGAAGTCAGACTGGAGCCAAATTCAGTGGTGGAAAGCTGATGTAAATATACTCATGAAACAATTTGGATAACTCATGGAGGCATCTTTGCTTTCCTTCCAGAAGGAATTTTTCTGTTAATGTTGAGTTTCTAAGACTTCAGGTTCAGGTACAGACTTGTAGGATATATTAAAAAAAATGGGGGAATGGGGGACTTGGATTGTTTAAAGCTTTAATGTGGTAAAACACTATTTCTGTTCCCAAAGAGATGATGAGAAGGCTTGGTTTGAGTGCTGCTCAGAGAGGAGTTTATCCAAGAAGAACTGCAGTCCTTTCCACTGGAAATCATTTTATTTACTGCTTAGAATGAAAGATTTTGGGAAAATATAGCAGCTACTTTGGGTCTCTGCAGATAATTTCCAGAAAATACTCTGCAGATTCATGCCTTGATAAACATTGTGCTAGTTACTTTGGAATTCTGAATAAAAGAAGTGAAGAGGTATTGGTTCAGAGAAACTGCCTGATTGAAGTGACTTTGGGCAGAATTCACATAATATGAACCATTTTGGGAGGTGGTTAATGTGCAGTAGTGATCCAGGGGCTGAACTGAAGACAGGCAATCTTTAAATTAAAAGAATAAAATTATTTAGTTTGGAAGAGACCTCGAAGATGATCGAGTTCAGTCTCTTACTGAAGGCTTCTCCTGAGCCTGACTTACTGCTGGTTTGTTTTGTGCCAAAACCTGACCTTTCATGGAGGATTTTTTCCCTGAGGCTGGTCTGGTAGGATGAACATGGGGGTTTTGGGTCTGTGGTCAGTTCAGCCTCTCAGCAGATGCTGGGGTGGGTTTGCCTCACTGGGGCTCCAGTGTGGGTGTTAATATTTACCAGTGTGCTTTGTAGGGCAACCCCAACCGTGAGTTCCTCTGGAGTTTTCCCTGAAGGAAACTTTAAAGTGACTAACAGGGAGAGCTTGCCTTCTATATTCCCTTATTTCTCAGGAAATGTTTAAGTGACAGGATCTTAATAATGCAGACTCTGGGGATAAGCCCATTTGCATGATTTGATCTGTACCCTCAGTGTCCATCACTTGAGAGCAACCCAGCAATTATTCATCACACAGCTTTCCACTGAATTCATTTAGTTTGCAACTGTTTGCCTTGCATTGTGCCTTATTTTCTTTTCAGTTTATTCAATGAGAGCAAAGAAGCTGGAAACATTAAAGCTGGGAGAGTCACTGCCCTGTAGATATGACTGTGTTGGTGGCTGACTAATTTCATTTTGGCATCTTTTTCAAAATACACAACTGTTGTGTACAACAAATTAAAACCCAGGGACCAGACTTCCTTGGCCTAGATTTTCATGCTGATATTTCAAAAGCTGGCTGCTTTTCTGAAAGCCTTTCAGAGTTCTGTCATGGTAGAAGGATTGTACAAGTTTTCTGCAGTGTCAGAGCACACCAGAAATATGTTGTTGTCCAGTGGAAAAGGCTGAGGTAAGGAGGTAAAACTGTTTGTCCTGAATGTGGTTATGGAGAGTGAGGGAAGGTAAATATTAAACATCCTGCATGATATAATTGGTTTTCTTATTCCTAGTTGATCTCCTGGGACTTCTGAAGTGGAGATCTAACACGAACCTGCTGCAGCAGAACTTGAAGCAGCTGATGAAAGTCGATGGTGGTGAAGTGGTTAAGGTAACAAGTTCATTTCTTTAAAAAGAAATTTGGTTTCTTTAAAAATAAACTTGGTATCATAATTTTCCTGAATCCCCTATTTTGAGGTATTTGTTTCCCCACACCCTCCCCCTCAACCTCACTTGCATATTAAATTGCAACCAGGTATTTCAGCCTTCAGGAGGCTGATGCCCCTCTCCCTGCCCTCACAGAACATTTTAGATGTTGAGGACTGATAAAACACACAGAAAATGCACATTTCTGAAAATTTAGTTTGTTTTTTTTTTAGCACTTTGGTCAGTTTTTATATACAGATACATGAAGGCAAAAGGGGTCTTTCTTTGCAAGATTAGATATTAAATGTGTTTTTAATATATGGATGTGCAATGCAATCCTACTGTGTGTTGCTGGTTTTTTTTTTTGTTTGTTTTTAAAATACTTCTTCTGGAAATATTTAGCTGAGCCAAGTTATTTACATTTGCCAAGGCCACTGAGTGATTGTAGAGTTGTACATAAAGCTGTGGAAAAGGGTAGGCTGGGACTTTATTGAATGTGTTGTAATAAATCAAGTCTGAAAGAGTGTCAAAAGATGTATTGGGGACAGATGACCCTTAAGGGCGTGGAGTGTTGTTTCCTTACATCAGTGGATTTTTATTTGGTTCGTAGGAGCATAATGAATGCCTCAGCTTGGAGTAACTTAAAGCATCTGGGAGTGCTGATGTTCTTTGCTGAGGGTGGTGAAAGTGGTATCTCACACTGTCTGGTTCTCAGGAAGGTTCTACCTGCTGTGGATCATTTGGCAGGAACACGCTTGACGCTGGTGCTGGCTCCTGCCAAGCACTGTCACGGCTCTGTCATCTGTGATTTTCCCTCTTCTCCAAATGTGACACCTGAGGGGGTGTGGCAGGTTACTGTGGGATGGGGGTCGGGGATTTCATCAGGATGCATCACAAGTGAGGTTTAAGTGAAAACAGTATCAGGAGGTTCTCCAGCTGGCACGTACTCAGGACTCATGGGCTGATATTCCCTTCTCTCTGTTGCACAGGGAACTGAGCAGAACTGGATTCATGCATAGGACAGAAGAGGGAGTGTTTAATGTTGCTCCCATCACCATTTTTATGCCCTTTTTTTTTTTGGAAGACCACTGTTTACATTATCCATCTGTCACAGGATCTTTGTGTAACCTGCTCTGTTGCAATATGTAGTTTGTAACTGTTACTTTCTATTCTTCCAGCTTTTTTTGTCCTTCAGGTTTTTAAATACATGGTACAGTCTATGTATATTAAAGTATTGATGTGATAAAACATATTCATATTTTCTGTTAGGCTATTTCTTAAAACTCCCAGTAAAAGGCCTTTGCCTACTGGTGTTCATTTATTGCTAAGTAGAGATCAGCCAAGATACTCACTCTGTGATTTACAGCTTCCATACACTGTGGATACAGTCAATGTTATCTCCCTTTCCCAGAGGTTTCAGCTCCATTTGTGCAGAGAGTCTTTAGAATATGAGAATGTAAACTAATAGTCTAGAAATTATTCGTGCTACCTGAGAAATGTTGTCCTGCCACTTCACACAGCACAGGCATCTGCTCTGTGCCCTTCTTTCTGTTACATCAAGTCCTTGGGAACAGATTTAAAACTTGAACTCCGCTAATGAAAGTCAGTATTTGATACCTAAATGTGAAATGGAGACTTGACCAGTCATGACAAGGCCTTCCAACCATCCTTTGGATTCAAGGGGGCTCCGTGTGTGGGACCTGAGAGTACAACTTCTCTTCAAACCAAAGAGGAACTTCTGTCAAGGCTCAGAACTGTGCTTTACTCTTTCCCTCCTGCCAGCTGGTTAAATCACAGAGTCATTTAGAATTGCAGAATCATTTAGGTTGGAAAAGACCTCCTAAGATCACTGAGTTCAACATTCAGACCATGGAGTCCAGCCTTTAACATGCTTTAATTGCACGTCTTCTTTAGTGGAGCAAACGAGACCACGAGAAAGCAACTGGGCTTTTTTTTGCCCCCCAATCCTGTAGTGAAATTATGACCTGGATCTCCCCCAGGACTGAAGTCTAAAATGAGCTGCCAGACTTTTGCTTTTTCTGGTTTTTCATCCTCAAATATTAGTAGCATGAATTGTGGCTCTGTATTCACTTGGTTTGAGTTTGGCATTTCAGTTGCTATATTGAGGTTAAATCCTGACATTTAATTTTAGATTTAGTAGATCAGGTGAATCATGTTTGATCCAGAAGACCCATTGCATAGATAGACATTTTTAAAGGAGGAATCTGAGAGTCAGGCTGATTTTCCATCTCTCCCACAGGGTATATAATCTCTCTTTGTAGCTGCAATCTCAGGAATCAGTTTGCTTCTGCTGGTTGAGATGTTCTTCCCCAGCTGCACCTTGTCTCGTCTACAAGGCAGAAACTATTTTTGCTTCATTTTACTTTGCTGTGAGGGTGGTGAGGCCCTGGCACAGGTTGCCCAGAGAAGCTGTGGCTGCTCCATCCCTGGGAGTGTCCAAGGCCAGGTTGGATGGGGCTTGGAGCAACCCGGGCTAGTGGAAGGTGTCCCTGCCCGTGGCAGGGATAGTAGAACAAGATGATCTTTAAGGTTCTTTCCAACCCAAACCATTCTGTTATTCTGTGATTCACTGGAGCCCAGAACAATCCTCCTTTCTCAACCACAGCTAACCCGAACTGAGGCTGTGATCCATCCTTACTGTGCCTCAGGAACCTTTTTGTGTCAGCTGGAGGAACAGACTGTTCAGACACAGAACCCTGTGCTGATAACCCTGATGAGTATCTCTGGGCTGTGTGTGGATCACTGGCTGTCACTGGGAAGAAATCCTGGAATTACACAGGTGTAAAACAGCTTTTCTCCCTCTGCTTGCCTGGAGCCCCCAACACTAATCTGCTTTTCCTTTCGTGTTGCACAGATGAGGGTGCCCAGCCCAGGGGGTGGTGAAGACATTCCTCTGTAGGTTTGGGGCTGGGGCAGCAGGTTGTGTGCTCTGCTTCCCATGCCTGCATGTGTGATCCCGTTGGGAATTGTGGCTCTGAGTGGGTGCAGCCCTGAGAAGGGATGTGCTGTGAGCCTTCCCTTGCTCAGCTCCGAAGTTGCTGAGGATTACTGGATTTATTGGCATGAGACTCAGTTGCTTGTCTGGTTTGTGCTCTGAAACATGACATTTTCAGCAATGCATGATCCTGGTGACTCCGTGCTGGATCTGGAGTTTGGAAATACATTTTGTTGATTTACTATAATAAATTAAACTCCTTGTTCAGCTGTACCAAGTGTGATTTCTGACTTTTTTTTTTTCTCTGAGTGATGTATGTATAGATAATCAACTTCACTAAAAAGAAATAATTTGCCGAAAAGAAAAAATGTGAAGCTTTCTTTTTTTTTTGCTAACTTTTAATCTTTGTAAAAAGTACAAATGAAAGCAAATATAGCTGTAGAAGCTTTTGCAAAATCCGAATTATAATTTTTCTTTTAAAATCTGATGAACTGTGTATTTATTTGTAGTTTCTTCAGGATACATTGGATGCACTTTTTAACATCATGATGGAGAATTCAGAGAGCGACACCTTTGACACTTTAGTGTTTGATGCTTTGGTGAGTTTGCATTGGGGATGGACTGAAATGTAGGTACTGAAATGGTGAATAAATGCAACAAACACGGTGTAAATGATGGAATAAAGTTTACTAATTAAAAAGATCTTAGCTGTTAATTATTATTTAATTCAAATGTTGTATTTGAAGGTTCAGTTGGACTTTATCCAGGAGGGGTTGGATTACACCATGTCATCCTCCCAGAAAATAAGGAAGCAGTCAAATCCAGTTGTTTTAGTGGGTGAACAGCAGAATTCAGGACAGAAACAGGAAATCTGTGCTTAGAACAGAGAACTTAGTTATAAGCAAGGAGTTTTCACAGGGAAGAAGAATATTTATATATTAGGAGGATAATCAGGAGCCAGAGGCTGTGTTTTTAGTGTCTGTAATGTGTCTTCTCTGAAAAGAAAGGTGACTGGACAAAATGCAAGATGACTTTTTTCTTAGAATAACACAATAATTGTGCTGTATTTTCAGGTATTTATCATTGGACTGATTGCTGACAGAAAATTTCAACATTTTAATCCTGTCTTGGAAACCTACATTAAGAAGCATTTCAGTGCTACGTTGGCCTACACGTAAGCTGGAAAATCCAGTTTTCCCAACGTGGCTTGGATAATTTTCCCAGATAATGTCGTTTAGTTACTTGTTTGTGTAGGTTAGTTAGGAATGTGCCCACAGAGCTTGGGAGGGTGGGAGGTTCTTGAAGAAGATTGGATGTGTTTCTTGCAATAATGTTGCTAAAACTTGGAGTCATCTGCAAGGCTGAAGTCTTGGTTGTGTTGTAATGATGAAGGGAATGTTTTTGTAAGGAAAATACAAGCAATTCTCACTCACACTTGAGAAGGAAATCATGTCCATTTAAGATACTTTAAATAGAGGTGGTTTGGTGCATTAAATTGACGTTCTACCCTGGATTATCCACATTGCTGCCAGTCTGGGGAGGAAGCAGTGGAGAACAAAAAAGCAAAGGTCCATTATTTTTGTGGTCTTAAGCGTTTTTTGACAATTGGGATCTTTGCTGCTGCTTTAGACTGTTAGTGTGGGTATCTTTGCAGTGGTGTTGGGAAAGCAAATCCAAACCAGGAAGCCTGGGATGCACTTTGTTGTAAAGTGACCAGTGTTGTAAAGTGACTTAATAGACTTTGTCTATTAAGTGACCAGAAAATGTTTGAAAATATTGATTTAAAATTGTGGAGAATAAGAGAATCATGGAATCACAGAATATCCTGAGTTGAAAGGGACCCGCAAGGGTCATCCAGTCCAACCCCTGGCCCTGCACAGGACACCCCAACACACAAAGAATCACCCAGGTTGGGAAGAGCTCCAAGATCAAGTCCAACCTTAAACTCCTGCCCAAGTTTGCTGAAGTAAGAGAGGCTGCACTGACAATATCAAAGTGAATACTTGAAATTCCTGGGCAGTTTTCTCCTATTTCAGCAAATCCCCAGATATCCAGATTTCTGTCTGCTCTGTTGTTTTCTGTTAGGGGAGTAGAATGTTGTACTCGTGTACTTTTCCTGAGGATGTTGGATCATGCAGTGGAGCTGGGATGATTTAAAATGGAATTGCTGGTAGTTCCATTAAAATCCTGATTTATATTCATTGGAAGGGAGGTAGCTGAAATGGGATTATTTTGAAAATTGTTTCACTTTTCGAGTTTGATAGGCTTCAAAATGGGAAAGAAGAGAATTTCCAACTGGTTATATACATTTTTGAGACATATATTTCACAAATTCCAGCCCAAAATCCATGGGAAAGCTTTATGAAGGGAAAGCCTTGTTGAATGAAGAAACTCATATTTTGTGTGTTAATGCTAACAATGTGTTTGTACTTCAATTAATTATCGTTATTATTTTGATCATTAGTTTTATGTATTTATAAATATTATTTTGACTATTAATATATATAAAATTTATTTCCAAACGTTATGTATTTATTATTAGTAAGTGCATCTGCATAACAGCCTAAATCTGAATATCCCTAAATATCCAGCAGAAAATAAGTCAGATGTTGTATTTCTTGTATGTTGAATGGTGTCATGCTCTGATTTTATTTCTTTTCAAGAATAGGTTGCAGCAGAAAGAAGAACATAATGAGTTTATTAGCTGCATAATTAATTCTGTAACTTTGTGGGCACATAATTTTTCTTGAAACCTTTAAAAATCCAAACTCTTCTCTGTGAACATACTTGTAACTGGAATGTGGTTTTGTATTTAAACAGCAAACTGACCAAGGTTTTAAGAACATATGTGGACAATGCTGAGAAGAGTGGGATCACTGATCAACTCTTCAAAGCCATGAAAGCCTTGGAATATATCTTCAAGTTCATAGTCCGCTCCAGGATATTGTTCAATCAGTAAGTAAAGCAGATGCTAAAACCTCCTGTAATGCCACTGCTAATATTGCTCAGAAAGTGGCCAAATTTCATAATTGCCACAGTTAAAGTTGCTCAGAAATATCTGAAGTTGTGATAACTTATTTCAGGAGGTTTTTCCCTGTGAGCCAGGCAGGTTTCCTTCACACAGGGATGTATTTCAAGTAGCAGTGAACTGGTAAAATCATGATAGTTTACGTCTCTGAATGAATAGAGCTTGTCATTATTTGAGGAAAAGCTCTGTTACTGTACTGTGTTTTATACACAAATGTTAAAGAAGTTATAAACCAAGCTGATGATATATTCAGCCTCAGATTGAGTCATTTTACTACTTGTTAGCCATGGTAACAACCTTATTACAGGGGATTTGTGGAGAGCTCTTGCTTTACCATCTCCACCAACCTTCCTCTGATTTAGACATTGTAATTTATTTCTGGAGGAGTCCTGCTGTGAGATTCATAAAATACTGGATGTCACTTACACTGTTGCAGGTCCCACAAATCACTTTAGAACAGAAAAAAAAAAAAATAATTACCTCTTGCTGCAGATTAGATTTACAGACAATATGACCCTCTGGAACTGGCCGTGGGATTTCCTTGTGTGAAGCACTAATTCACAGCTCTTTAGTGTTGGGAAGACTCAGCTCTCAATGCCAAGGGATTAATCAGCAAAATTACTGAATGCTGAACGACACCATGATTTGTTCTGCTGTAGGATTAAAGTCCTGCCTGGGGTGTGTGATTTGGAGTGATTGTAATGCAGGAGTGTGGCAGTGGGCTGAAATATCGCTGGGGTTCTGCTGAGAAATCACAATGAGCAGGCTGAGTCTTTTATTAAAAAATATAACGTATTTTTAACTTGAGGAATATGGTGGTGGACTGAATATATGGAGCGTTTCAGCAGTGGAATTGCAGGCAAGTTTCAGTTCTGGATAAACACACAGAAGCCTTGTTCATCTAGTTAAAGGCTGGTGGCACATCTATTTGTTCAGTATATCAGGGTTTATAAAGGCAAGGTTTATAAAGTGACCTTTAGAAATATCTTTATTTGATTTCCTCAGTAATGATCCCAGTGGTTACGGTGTATTTACAACAGTCTTAAAATTTTGAAGGCAGTGCTAGAAGGGCCAACTTGGTGTAATCCTGGTTCTCTCAGAGCTGCAGAGTTTTTGTGCATTACAAGTATATTAAATAAATACCTGTTATTAACTGACAGCAGAAACACATTTGTGAATACCTTGTTTATTTTTATTACAACTTCCTTTTTGAAAGGCAAAGCTTTTTGTCTGAAGCACTTTGATTTATTGGACTGTCAAGTTTAGTTACGCTTTGTACTGGTATTAGTTTCACCTCTCTAATCTGTTCAGGGGGACAGTGAAATCCATTATTGAAATTAGGAGTTAACAAGTTATTTTTCCTGCATAACCCCCAGTTTTAGCCTAAAAGGGGAGAATAGGAGTTTACAGTGCAAAATAACACCATTTTATGTTGTTTTTTTTTTTTTTTTCTGTAGCATTCGTTTCCTCTGGGTCCTGGTTAAATAGCCTTTTTTAATATCTGGGGCTCCCAAAGGTTTCTGAACACAGCATTAAAAATGATCCACATTAGTTTGAGTGTAAAGCAGCAAGAACATTCTGAACTCTGGGTTTATCCTTAGAAAAGCCCTTTTCCTGCTGTAATTTGTGATCCATCATGATGTAGCTTTAGAGTGGGTATTGGGAAGAAATTCTTCCCTGTGAGGGTGGTGAGGCCCTGGCACAGGTTGCCCAGAGAAGCTGTGTCTGCCCCATCCCTGGAAGTGCCCAAGGCCAGGTTGGACGGGGCTTGGAGCAACCTGGGCTAGTGGAAGGTGTCCCTGCCCATGGCAGGGACAACCAGGAACTGGTTGAACTTTAAGGTCCCTTCCAACCCAAACCATTCTGAGATTCAGTGATCTTGAAACATGAAGAAATAGTACAATGATTGTACCTAGAAAACCCTGGGTGTGGTGCTCTTTGGGAGCTGCAGACCACAATCAAGACCTTCCTGGTGGGTTTAATTCCAGAATAAAATGGAGGAGAGTAGAGGGGAATTGAACTTTTGCTGGGAGCTGCTCTAATGGGTCCTGGTGTAAAGGGTTTGAGGGGGTTCAGGGACAGAGCTAATAGAACCAAGGATGGCTTTGGAAGCCCAGTTGTTGTTGCATGCAACTCTTGGAAGCAACCAGAGCTGACTGGGTAAATAGGGGGTTTTAGTTTGGGAAGGAGTCATAGAATCATGGAAGGCTTTGGGCTGGAAGGGGCCTTAAAGCCCATCCACTTTCACCCTCTGCCGTGAGCAAGGACACCTTCCACTAGCCCAGGTTGCTCCAAGTCCCATCCAGCCTGGCACTGAAATTCTATCTGATGTTTATAAACACCCCTGCTTAGATTTAATCTGGATGCCAGATCCCTTTTTATTTTGGTCATGATAAGTCTGTGTAACCCTGACACAGGTGAGTCATACACAGTGCCACAGGAGGAGAACAAGTTTTAAAATATTTATGTGGAGCTAGTGGTCTTCTCCCCCTTGCTTTCCACTGAGAATTATCTCATCCTATACCTGAAGCAGAGATAAATCTGCATTTAAAATACTCTGAGAGTTTCAGGAACACTCATTCCTGTGCTGTATCAAACCAGTGGACCAAGGTCTTCAGCTTGGCTGTACCTTTTGTGTCTTTGGTGTTACTCAGTGATCTCTGGGCAGTTTTTATCCCCCTGAAAGCGTCTGACAAAAAGAGAGAGGGGGGTCTCTCTGGGCAGATGAGCTCTGAAGATTCCTGCCTGAAGGCACAGGGACCTGCCTTGTGAGTTTGAGCTGTGGATTAGTCATTCTTCTGTGGCAGCTGTACTGACTGTTTTGGAAACTGAGCCTGAAATTAGTGGTGGAACACAACTCAACTTCAGTGCTTCCTTCCCACAGGAAACAAAAGGGTGTTTTTTTAGCAAATAGTGAGTTGATGGGCTTTTTCTTTCTTTCACAGAGTTTAAGGTCACTCACCTTAGGCTACTGGTAGATTTTAATGTTTGCTGGCAAGTTGTCTGGATGCTTTGTGGCTTCGTCATGGGAGAGCTGCTTGGCAGTGGTTCCCCCAGACATCTGCAGGGTGGAGAGACACTCTCCCACTGCTGTGTGGGCTCCTGGAATTGGGTCACTGCTGAGGGATTCACCAGGACTTGAAGGCTGAAACAACAATCCTGGATGTGGCATTTTATCATAGGAAGCTTTAAAATAAAAATCTGTTGCTCCTGCCCGACCCAGCCTGGTCAGTCTGTCTTGTCTCGTGAAAGAAAATTTTTTGCTTCAGTGAAGAAACTTGTAGAAATTCTTGAAAAAATGTGACACAACAAGTGGTCATCTGTCACTTGAACAGAGTTTTTAAAAAGTGGGTTTCCATTGTGGCTGGGTTGTGCTTATGAAATGTAATTCTTTTTCAGACTTTATGAGAACAAAGGAGAAGAAGCATTCAGGGAGTCTCTGCTGCAGCTCTTCAAGTCCATCAATGAGATGATGAGCAGCAACTCTGATCAGACTGTCATAGTGAAGGTTTGTACTTCCCACAGCTCCATCTTGGCTTTACTTTTGCATCCTAAACCACACTTAGGCAGTTGATGAAGTAGATGCTTGTGTGGTTGCCCAAAAGCTGGTTTTACCTCAAACATGGTTAATTCTTGGTGCTGGTTCTAATGAAGGGTTTGGGACTATGTAAGTAAGGCACTTCCAAGTAAGTTTATAGAATCCTAGAACCATTTAGGCTGGAGAAGACTTCTAGGATCATTGAGTCCAACCTTTCATTGCTGCAAATACTTTTCTTTTTAAAAGAGAACTTAGTTAAGGGTTAAATGACATTTAATTTACCTTAATGTTAAGATTGTACAAGTTATTTTTAAAACATTATCTTTAAGATGCTGATGACAACGTAGATCCTCCTATGCACTTATGTCTTAGGCTGTTCCAGAACTGCAGTTTAGTATCTTAAGCCCTAGTACATATTTTAAATGGAACATTTAAGCCGTAGTGAGTCAGACTGCAAACCTCACCCTCACCCCTCATCCCTCTTCTGGTGTCCCTTTAAAACAGCATCTACTTTCAGTAACATTGACTGGCTCGTGGAATTGGGAATGTGCTCTCTGACCTCAGATGGATGTTGATAGCAAAGAGCAGAATTACTGAATTGTAGGACTGCTGGATCTTTGTATCCAGAGGAGGCTGGATACAAAAGTTAGTGGATCTTTTTCATCATGGAAAAGTACAGGGAGTGTCATAAACGTGTGTTTGATGAGCTACACCTTGAACTTCTCCACGTGGTTCCAAGTAGAATTTATAAAAAGATTAAACTCTTGACCCAACCCTGCTGAATCACTTGAAAGATGATCAGAAAGGGACTAAGAATTGGGGGAGAATTTGGGGATAGTTTGATTCCTCCTGCTCAGGTGTGCAGGGGTTGCAGAGAGAGACAGTGGGAAAGTGCTGTGCCAGTGCAAGAGGTTCCTCCTGAAGGGAACTGGGAGAAGTAGAGCAGGAAAACTCCTGAGTCAAAGACCCCAGTCCTTTGTAGCTGAGCACACGCAGGGCTGGGGCTTGTAGTGCCATGCTGAGCACACAGCAAAGAGAGATAGTGGGGATAAAGCAGCTGAGTTGGAATGTTTTAGGCAGAGAGGCTGAGACTGTATCATCTGATAATAAAACAGGGATATTTTATATTTCCACAAAGCTGTATTTTCATTTCCTTGACAAAACATTAGTCCTGAATGGAAGTTGGGAAGTTGGAGGCAGCGGCTCAGAGTGTGCTGTCGGGGGTTTTGCAAATAGGATGTTTTCAGATTATGAGAATGGAATGTAATATTTATTATTCTGAGGCCTGTTTGCAGGGCCTGCTTCAGGAAGGAAGATGCACATGGGCTTTTTTCTTTTTTAACAATTTATACCTTGGGGGAAAAAAAATACCCTAAAAAATGGATTTGGTTGTGTTCACCTGAAATGCAGGAAGAAAAACTTCCTGAAAAAGGCTGGAGAGATCACACTGCAGTGTGTTGGTTCATGTTCAGGACTCTGCAAACTTGGGTAGAGCACATCTCCTGAAGCACTGACAGCCGAGCCAGTGTGGAGTTGAAGTGTACTTGAGGATGCCTTTCAGAAGCCTTGACAACCTTTTATTCAGTATTCATTGCTTTCATCTCCTTTGGACTCTAATTACTTTGCTCTTAGAACACATAATTGTTGGTATTGGCTTTTTGCAGCTTGTGAAATTGCTTTTATTATGTTCAGGTATCCACTGAAGGACTTCAGTTTGTGCAGTAATGAGAAACGTGTGGTTCTGTTACAGAGAACAAAACTATTGAAAAGGTGGATAAATGTGGGTTTTTTTTTTTGAGAGATAGTGAGTCTGGATTCTGTGAATCCTGCCTGACCAAGCTGCTGGGAGGGTGTCAGTAGCCATGTGAAGTGGACATGACATTAGAGACTTCACTCAGCATCTCTGTTATGACTCGAGTGGGTACCTCAGGATGGACCTCCCAGGACTGAGGGGGCTCCAGTGAGAGCTGGAGGGCAGACAAATGTCAGGAAGAGGAAATAAATCCCTGTATGATGCTCTGCTTGGAGCTGGCAGTTGGAGTTTGGGCAGGACACCTCGGAGTCATCCGTGGCGGCTCTCCAGAGGCATCAGATCCATGTGCAGTGGCAGGGAAAGCAGCAGGGTGTTGGGTGTGAGCCAGAGGGATGAGGAGGAGATGGCAGGGCTGTCACCTTGTTGTCAGCCTTGGTGCATCCTCTCACTGCATGCCAGGTGCTGTTCTGGTGTTCATACCTCAGGAAGTAACTAAAGGGGTACAGAGGACCAGGATTGGGAATGGGGCACCTTCCTGGCAGATGAAACACTAATTTCCTGTACTGTGGGGTTTAGTGTACAGTTTTAAGTAAGCAAAAGAACTTTTGATCTTTCCTGAAGCTTGTTGTTACAAGGGGTTGTGGGGGCAGCAGATGGAGAGAGCACAGGTCCTGGATGTTCTGAAAGGATGGTTGGAGGTGCTGCCTGTAAAGGAGGGGAATGGACACAGTGACTGCAGATGGCATCTCCATGGCTGGTGCTGGAGACCAAGTGCTGGGCTGTGCAAACCATCAGTGTGGCACAGGGAATGTTTCTGAGGGCTGTGGAGATGTTCCAAGAGCTGGAGCACCTCTGCTCTGGAGCCAGGCTGGGAGAGCTGGGGGGGGTTCACCTGCAGAAGAGAAGGATCCAGGGAGACCTGAGAGCCCCTTCCAGGGCCTAAAGGGGATCCAGGAGAGCTGGAGAGGGACTTGGGACAAGGGATGGAGGGACAAGACAAGGGGGAATGTATTCCCACTGCCAGAGGGCAGGGTTAGATGGGATATTGGGAAGGAATTCTTGGCATGAGGGTGGTGATGCCCTGGCACAGGTTGCCCAGAGAAGCTGTGGCTGCCCCTGGATCCCTGGAAGTGTCCAAGGCCAGGTTGGACAGGGCTTGGAGCAACTTGGGCTAGTGGAAGGTGTCCCTGCCCATGGCAGGGGGTGGAAGGAGATGATTTTTAAGGTCTCTTCCAACCCAAACCATTCTGGAGTTGTGGGATACTCTGCTGAAGTTTTATAGAAAGCTACTGAAGATAAGCAGATAATTCCCAGTGCCTGTGTTGTGCAGGAAGTTCAGCAGATCCAGCTGTAGCAGTTTTAGGCTTTTTTCCACCGATTTTTTTATATATATTGAGGAAGTTAAATATTATATACAAAATAAGTCTGTTTGGGGAGATAAGAAGTTGCAAAGACCTACACAGAAAATTAAGGTGCTTCACATTAAAAGAGACAGATGCTTGATTCATACATTTCAGTGTTTCTGTCTCTCCTTACAAAGAGTGGTATCTGTCTCCATAGTTTATCAACAAGAAGCAGAGCTAGGATGGGAAAGTTTCCTTGAGATGTTCACAGCTTTTCTCTTTGGGTGGATATACTGGATTTTTTTGCTGTCTGTAGGAGAGTAGCCTTCAAGCTGACACTAAATGACTGACTGCAGTCGTGGGTTCTTAGCAAGAATTCCTTTTTATCTATTCAAATATTTATGTCCTTGTGGAAGCTGAGTTGTTCCTGACTGTAGCTCAGGTCTTGAGTCACTTAATGTTTTGCATTTAAATTGCCTCTTCTTTTTTTAATTTGTATTCTTCAAGGCTTCAAAATAAAAGTTTTCCTAAAAAGAAAACTCTCTGAATTGTACAAGGATTTAAGGTTGTAAAGCACAAAACAGAGAGTGGGAATTTGTACATCTTTTAGGATTATGGATGTTCAAAAATCCTCAGGGGAGATTTTATAGGGGTACATGTGTATGTATATATATATATATATATAAACATTGTTAAAGGGTTATTTTAAATTTCAGTGGTACTGTTTCAGCTATGTATTTTTATAATAAATAGGCAAAATTCCATGTATTTTTGGAACGTGATTTGAAAATCTCTTCTGGCACTTTATTACCATTTATACCTCTTACTTCTTTTATGTCTTATAGACTCAAAAATGTTGAAATTAGAATGTTGAGGTGCAAGAATGACTAAACCCCACTTTCCTCCCAGGCTATAAGGGCAGCAATAATCAGTCCTGTAGGTTTGAATGTGAGAAGGTGGAATGGTATAAATGAAGGAGTGTTCAAAACAACACTGAGTTTGGGTTTTGTAGTTAAATAATTATAATTATTTGGGTTTTTTGGTGTGTCATTGCTGGCTGCAGTGGGGACAGGCATTTCGGGGCTGCCTTTTACACCTGTTTTTTTAAGATGTTCCATTTTCCAAAGTGGAGAGGGAAATTCCCACAGTGATCCGAGCTGACAGAGGTTTTGGTTGTCCTCTTAATAAAATTTTCCTTGCATGCTGAGTGGCAGAGAGCTGCAGTTACAGCTTGGGAAGGAGAGATTACACTTAGTTTTTCAAACACCAGTTTGATTTTAAGAGTTCCTTGCAGAAATGAGATGTGCAGCAGTTGGGATGTGCATGTATTTTTAACGGTTCCAAATGTAAGGAGCCTTCCTGGGTTTATTCCTGTTTTCTGCTAATTGGTGCGTGATAATTATGCCTTAACTTCTTCCTGTTGGAGCATGAGCTCAGCTTAAGCCTGTTCAGGATGACTGGGAAGACACAGGCTGGGAGCTGCTTTAGTTCTCTGTGCTTGGAATGATTTGATGGAGTGGGTGTGTGTATTTTGGGGGTGTTAAATGATCCTGTGTGTGACCATGCAGAGCTGGGCTGGAAGGTGATATCATTTCACTAAAGGGAATTCTCTTGTGTGGTTTTTTTTTTTTTTTTTTTTTTTGCATAACTTCTGTCACTTTTAACACATTCTTCAGTATCCACACTCTACTTTTCCCTATTCTAATATTGAGCATTTATTCCTAAAGCCACAAAAAAGTATTTAAATGAAGACAGAGAAATACCTCACAAGCTTCTGAGGTGCCTGGGAAGAAAACAAGAGACTGCAGGGGTTTTCCAGTGGGTTGGATACTTAATAACCATGATTTAAAAATTAGTTGAAGAATAAAATACAGTCATGGACTGAGTTTTCTGTGTCTTTTAGAACCTTTTTGGGGAAGCACTTCTAGAAGAGATTTACTTGTGATCGTGCTTTGGGCTGTTTTACACTGAATTCTGTGCCAGAGGTGCTGGTTGGGAATGAATAACTGGGATGAAAACTGTTTCAGTTTGTGGAATAACTGCTGGGGACTGGGGCAATTCAAAAATAGCATTTAGGTGTCCCTGGATATTGTTTCATCCTGCTGCTGACTGGGCTCTATTTGGCTTTAATAGATTTGAGTTTAATAGAAGAGCATCATGTGTAGAGAGCAGGTGCTTTGTGTTGAATAACACAAAAGATGACAATTAACATTAAAATAATGTTCAAATGGAGTCTGGTAAAACAAATTTATTGCTTTGTCAAACAAAAGAGTTCTTAAGAATACACTGCATTTGGCAGAGATGTTATGCTTAATTTTGAGACGAGGCATTTACTGGTGGAAATGAATGACTTTGGAAAATGACAGTTTTAAATTAAGTATTTTGGCTTTTATGGAGTACAAAGAGAGGAACATAAACCCCAGACAAAACCTGGAGTGTATTTTTTTTAGAATACATGTTGTTTCATCCTTTGCAAATGTCATTTGTTCAATCTAATGACAACCTTAAGTTACTATTGCTGGTTTTTTAAACAGCTACTGTCAGGAAACATTTGTGACTGTTTTCTGTCATTCCTTTTTTAAATAGTTTTGCTATTCCAATAAATAAATGAAGCTTACTCTTATTTTCCACAGTTAATATCTGCAAGTGTCGAAGTGGAGGTTTTTGAGTTGGTTTTTTTCCCCCCTCAAAAAAAATTGCAAAAAAAATTCATTTCAGAATAAAGATAAATCAGATCAATTTTGAGCCATAGGAACTCCTCAAACTTTTAGGTCTGAGCCATGTGCTGGTTTTCCTCTTGGTTGATCCCGTTCTTTACCCATTTCTGTCTCATTAAACCTGGCTGGAACTGAACTATCAGCAAGAGCTGTGGGCAGTGCAGTGGACTCTTCACTGATGTTCAGAGGGGCCAGTGCTGGGAATAAAACCTCCATTGCTCTTGATCTTATTTATTCTGGAATTCTTAACATGTCTGAAGGGTTTTTTTCTCCCAGCTGATGTTTAGAAACAGCCCATCACCGAGTTTGTTCCTTCAGCACAAATGTTATTTCACTGCCAGCTCTGAAGGAGTCTGGGAAAACACAATTAGCCCTTAAGTCATTATAAACCCATCAATGAATTTATCTTAAAGGTTGCAAAGGGTGGCTGCTCCACTTTGAGAGGTGGTTGTGATGATTTAAGGAACAAGTCGCAATTATTCCGTGCAATGGTTAAAACCTGGGAATTATCATCCTCTGGATTGGCTGTGCAGGGAACTGTGGCCATCAATTATTGCTTAATTTATTCTGTTTAAGGCAAAGCTTTGACTTTTGTGGCCCTTATAATTTTCACTTGGTGAGTTTTATTTCTTGGCACACTTAATTGGCTTTTTTATAGTTTAGGAGGGGATCCTCGAGGCACTGCACTCACGGACTGAGCACTTCCATAGGCTGTGCTGGCAGCTGCTTTTAATGGTTCTTTGCATGTGGATCTACTTTGGCTGGATATAACTCCCTTCATACACAGATATGACATGCATAAAGGAGAAATTAATGGATAATTTGTGAGTGTATGGTTGGGAGAGGGAGAAATCAGGGATGAGACACAAGATGGAAGAGCACTCTGGGTTTGCTGCAGGCTGCCGTGTCCTTGCTGATGTCGTGCAGAGCCACGTGAATCACATCTGGGAAGAAAAACCAAATTCCAGTAACACCCCCACAGTCAATAGAACACTGAGTGTACAAAGAAATTTAACCCAAGGAAAACATGTCCATTATTCATACAATGCCCTGTCTCGTCCTGCTTTCTCTCCTTTTCGTCCTTCCCCTTTGCTGCTTTATTTGTGTGCTTTGTAGTAGTGAAAATTAATGATTTTGTAACTCGATAAGGGTGGTAATAATTTGTCACTTGTTTTCCACAAAGAGAGAAGCCCCTTCAGGCAGTAAAATTTTTATTGCAGCCCAGCTTGAAACTATGTGTAATTATTGACTGTGTGTGTGAGACTCAGGTTTCCAGCTTTGTGTGTTCGTCCTGTGTGATCACAGGGAAATTACTGCAAAAACCTGTTTGATTAAAAATTAAGATTCTCTGTTATTGTGTTTTTTCTAATGCTGTTTGCAATATTCAAATTCAGGCATTGCTGTGTAACTATGAAGTGAAGATTTTGTCTTAGTTTGCCATGTGCTTCTTGCAGAAAAGAGGAAATTTGAACCTCAGTCCAGTACTGATCAAGAGTGGAAAGCAATTAATTTAAGTGAGGAAAAAACCCAACCAAAGTACAACAAAACAGATGCTCATTTGCTTTCTCTTGATGTTATTTGAAAAGGCAAGAACAGGGGGGTTTTTTTATGTGCTGAATTTCATATTCCTCATTTCTGCATTCCAATATCCTGGGAATAACCAGCATTGCCATTGAGCTGCTCCTAATAAAAAAATCTTCTTTTAGCTGCAGCTGTAACAGAGTAAAATCTTCATTGAGAGCTGCTCTTTCCATGACTTAATACCCACAAAAAGGTATTTTTAGGAGCCCTTTGGATTAGACAGATAAAGGTTTAATCACGGAGCTGCAGAGCCTCGTTGTCTGATCATCTTGTCATATAATTGAGCCAGTTTAGGTGGGAAATAAGGAAATAAACTTCCACAATTTTCTTTAAATGCTAAGAATTAAACTTTGATTGGTTTGTCCAGAAAGTAGAACTGAGGTTGCTTCTAGTTTCTGTAACTACAGGATGTTGCAAATGGCATTTTACCCACCATCCATCAAAGTGTTAATTTTTACGCCTCTGCCGGGCGCGGTGTGAAATTTTAATTCATGATTATAAAATTGCAAGCTCGAAATTTTAATTCAGGATTATAAAATGCGAGCTCCCTTTTAGGATGTGTTACTAAACATTTATTGCTACATGCATTTGAATGATAAGCAAATAAAGCCCCGGCGCTGAGTGAGCTTTATAACTGGTCATTAGAGCCCTCATCCATCACAACACATGAGCCTGCACATAATGGCCCCATTTGCATAATTACAGTTCTGAGCCTGATTTGGGAGCGTGGAAGGAGTCCTTTAAGCATACGTGGGAATGTTTGATCAGCAAGCCTGACAGATTCTATGGACTAGGAAGAGGAATGGGAGCGCTTGGAAATTTGAAGCCCAACCCATCGACAGGTTGGGTTTGCTCTTTGAGAAGTGGTCACAAGCCTTGCTGGCTGCTTGAAGTTCTCAAACAATTGACTTCTTGCATTCAAGAACTGTAGAATTTGGTTTAAAATTACTGGGGTCGTGGCAGGAAAATGTTATTTCAAGACAAGTGGTTTTTTATGTACGAGGCGACACTCCTTGAGTCTGTTCCTCGTGACTCTTCTACCAGTAGTAACTACTGATCAGAGAATTTGTCTGTCCCCAGACTGAGGTGTAAAGTATAATCACTTGTCACAGAGAATCTCAGAGAATCCAAGAATGGTTTGAGTTGGAAGGGACCTTAAAGACCATCCAGTCTACCCCCTACCGTGGGCAGGGACACCTTCCACTAGCCCAGGTTGCTCCAAGCCCCGTCCAACCTGGCCTTGGACACTTCCAGGGATCCAGGGGCAGCCACAGCTTCTCTGGGCAACCTGTGCCAGGGCCAGCCCCTTTAGGCACTGGAAGGGGCTCTCAGCTCTCCCTGGATCCTTCTCTTCTCCAGGTGCACCCTCCCAGCTCTCCCAGCCTGGCTCCAGAGCAGAGGGGCTCCAGCCCTTGGAGCATCTCCGTGGCCTCCTCTGACCCCTGTGTAAGGAATGAATCATTCCCTCTTTTGAGGCAAAAATACATCTTTAATCAAACTGTTTGATTTTTATCAACTAAATACAAAGGTTATTGTGTAAGTCTGGCTGTTGTGGTTTATATTTGAATTACTGTGGGCTTTTTCTTAGTCTGGTGCTCAGTGCACACAAGAACTTGAGGAAAGTCACTAAAAATATGAAGAAACAACTCCCCCCAACTTTTTCTCTTTGAAATGACTGTGCAGACTAAATGATTTTTATCTGGAATATTACTGGAGGTTTATTCACTATTCTTTAACCCAAAGTGCATTCTGACATACTTGCATGAACTTGCTGGGCAGGAATTTTTAACTGCTGGATTTTTGCTCTTGGTGCTTGTAAGGCAATGTTTGCTCTAGGAATAAATAAATACTGACTAATTGTTCCTAAAACATGGAAAGACAAAATGAGGTAAAATTACTACGAAGAGTTAAAATATTAAACATCTCTTTGCATCTTCTGAATTCTTTGTGAAATTCTGTGGTGTGAAATGGAGGGACAGCTGCAAGTTCAAGGGGGAATTTAGGAAGAGCTGCAGTTCCATGAGTGGCTACCAAAAATTTTCTGCAGGGAAAGATGATAATTATGCCTTTTTGCTTAATTTTTAAGTAGTGGAGTGAAAATTAAACCCAAACAACTACAGCCTGGCTGGTGAGGAGGGTGGGAAGGTGCCAGACAGGAGATGGGAATAAAGGGATTAGAGAACCAAAAGGTATCTGTAACGTGTTGGAAGGAGCTTCTAAGTCCCTAATTTTGGTATAACTTGTCAGTTTTCCCAGTTTACAAACCTTTCCTGACTCTTCTTTTGAATCTGTTAAACTTAAGAGTTTAATTTTCATTGATTTTCAGTTTAGCTGATTTACCCCCAAAAATATGCTCAAGGCCAAACCACAAGGGTTCAATGAAACCAAAGCAACCTACTCCTATGTGGATTCTCTTCTTGCAGTTTCCACCCCCTTAAAAGACATTAATTTCAGTCTTTTTTTAATTTGTTTTTGGTTTTTTTTAGGGGGCAGCACTTAAATACTTGCCAGCTATTGTCAACGATGTGAAATTAGTGTTTGATCCAAAGGAGCTCAGGTGAGTGGAGTTAATGAAATGTGAATTTCATACAGATCTTTATTTTTCTAATATATATTTATATCTCTCTCTCTATAATACAATCATCTGAGAAATTTTATTACTTTGGTTTTATACCCTATTTTTTTTCCTTGCAAATAATTATAGGGCTACAGAAAGAATCTTTTTTTTAAAGTATGACATCGAGGTTTGACAAATGTCTGAGAAACTTTGCAGTACAATATGACATAGTAGGAATTATCAATCAGGCAACTGCCATCAAAACTCTTAAGGTGCCACCGTGAAGCTTCACTTTTTCAAGTATAAATTTAATGTAAATAATAGAATAATAAATAATTCAGTCAATCCTGTTGCTGGATCAGTGTTTCAGTAGCTCATAAACACAGAAATGTTGTTAGTAAATAAAAAGGATAATAAGATGTTTAATTAAAAAAATGGAGAAACCAAATAAAAAGTCTTATTTCAGGAGAACTTTTAAGAGATAAAAAAAGTTTGTCTTTCATGTGCTATTACAAGGCATTTGAATTGAATAAAACCCTTTTTTAGCTTAATTTGATTGCACAAACCCTTCTACATATTGTCTGGTTTTATTTCTATGGTCTGATATGTGAAAATGAGGAAAAGAAAGGTAAAGTAGAAATGAAATAGATAAGTATAATCTCAATCTAACATTTCAGTGGCCTGAGGAACCTGGCATTTAGATTCTTTTTACCTGTCAACTGTGCTACATGTCCATTTATGCCTCCTCTGGGCCTGGGAAGTACATTTTTGTGGAGTTTCTGGACTAAACAATAACTTTGGTTTGTGATAGCAAAAGTACTGGGAAAATAGACCAAATGAAAATACCAGGACTTCACCTGTTTTACCCCAAACTACAGTTTTTTCTGTGCTATTACAAATCCAAATTACAGTTAAATACTGAGAGGATTTAAATTGAGATTGAATTAGAAGTGAAGGCTTAACAGGAAAACCAAAAACCCCAAGATTTTAGGAAGGGATGCAAAATTACTGAAAAGTCTTCTCTATGGTACATGGGAGCTCAGCTTATAAGTGTGATGGTACCTTATCTTAACATGTGTGTGCCCCTGGGTTTTATTTACTTATTTATTTTTGTTGTTGGTAGCTTGTAAGATGAATTGTCACTTTTTAATTTTTGGTGTGTATAATCATGGATGTGAGGATGGAGGGCAAGGAGAGACAATGAAAGTTAGAAATCTGAAACGTGGGAGAAGGGTGTAAAACTGAGATAGAAGGGAGGGGGCAGAAGAAAAGGCATCAAAACCCAAACAAATGTGTTGAAGACCATTCATGTTTCTCTGACTTTCCTGTCAAACTCTTCTACATCTCAAAAACTTTTTTGTTTGTTCAAAGTTTGTTTGTTCAAAAGCATGAAGTGGTGTATCTTGTCCTTTACTGCTGGATGTTTTTTATGTATGTTTGGAGAGAGTTTAATGTGTTTTTCCTTTTCCCTGTGTGTGCAGCAAGCTCTTCACTGAGTTCATCCTGAACGTCCCCATGAGCCGACTGACCATCCAGAAGCTCTACTGCCTGATCGAGATTGTCCACAGCGACCTCTTCACACAGCACGGTGAGTGGGGCCCCTGTCACCAGCAATCTGTGGCTTTATTCAGTGTCCCCAGACCTCTGCTCCTGCTGCTTTGTCCTTCCTGCCATCACAGCAGGGTCTGGAACACGTTAAGGGTGTTCCATTAGAAGGACAGGAGTTAAAATCATGGAATACCAGAATGATTTGGGTTGGAAGGACCTTAAAGCCCATCCAGTTCCACCCCCTGCCATGGGCAGGGACACCTTCCACTGGAGCAAGTTGCTCCAAGCCCCATCCAGCCTGAACGTGAGGAAATGCCAATTGACACTGCAGGTTACAGATCATAAAAGAACCGAAAGCAAAAACTTGGAATTTGTTATTTTAAAAGGGCACTAAATAACCATGTCCTTGGCCTTTGTTGTAGCTTTAACTGCCGTGGGTTTCATCAAAACTATTAATTCAGCTTTTGTGCTCAGTGAAGTTCTGTGGAGGAAATGGAGGTTTTTGATGTGCTTTCTGTCTGAAGCATCATGTTCTCCCTTGAAGCTGTTCCCTGGCTGAAGTAAAACAACACATAAACCTTTCAGAGCGTGCTGTTCATCCGTGTTTTATTATTTTCTCCATCCATGCTTTGTTATTTTCTGCTTTTCAATTAGTGGGCCGGTGGAAGATAAGTTCAAGCACTTGTCCTGCAGATTTCCTCATTTAGGGTGAAACCTTTTATTCTTTTTTCTACCCGAGTGCAGATACCTAACCAAGTGTTTGTGTGCTGTTAAGGGGAGTTAATGAGGGAGCAAATGGGCAATGGTTCAGTGAGAAAGGAGATTTGAAGGGATGCTTTGATGAGGAAAGCTGGGACCATGGGATGTAAAATGCTGATAAACTTTTCTGATTCCAATTTGAAGAAATGTTCTTGGTGGCTTAGCTTTGTACTGGGCTTATACCAGGTCAGGTGGTGATGAGGTAAGAATGAAGCTGAAAACCAGAGTCTGCCAGTTGTGTCACCACATACTTGTTGCCTTGAGAGTATAGAAATTTGGCAGAAATAGCAGGTCCAAACTTGATCTTCACTTTTGAGATCTTTTGAAATTATTCAACCCATAAATGGGGCTGGATTTGCAGGAATAAAGCAGAGGAATGCAGATGGGTTTGCTGCTCTCAGAGCCTGGGTAAAATGGCACTGATGTTTCCAAGACCACATTAATGTTTGCTCTTGCAGATCTGCACATCAGTGTTATTCCTTTGATTCATCAATTCTCAGCTCTCTCTCTGTGTAGTAATTTTCCCTTCTCCTGGCTGTTCTTAGCTTGTGGTGATTTTTGGGGCAGAAATCAGCAATAAAAGGTATCATTCTTTACTGTCTTAGGTAGGAGAAAATTGAGATAACTGAGATAAGCCAAGAAATTATGACTATAAAACACACTCCTAAGAAAGGCACATCATGCATTTACCACACTAATCTCTGACTTCCCTTATTCAACCAGTTTAATTTTGAGGTGGAAGGAGAAGTTGTGTGTGGCTGCTTTGTGTTTTTAACCTGACTCACACTCAGCTGTTGAGGGTGCAGTGAATGGTGTAGTCCAACATTATTGAGCTCCTGAGAAATTTAAATGAATCTGTTTTAACGGGAAGGTGATGAATCTGAACTCGGGCCAGGTTTGCTGACAGAGCAGAGCTATTTAATGGCTATGAGATCTTGTCAGGAGGCTCCTGACAGGGGGTTTCCTGTCACTGCCTGTTAAAAACTTCTTAAATCTGATGTGCTTCAGTTGGGTTGTGATGGGGATTCCAGGCTCATCTGTTAACCCAAACCATGCTGGGATTCCATGATTCTCGTGGATGTATGGGGGTTTTTTTGTGTGTCAATAAACAAATTATTTTCTTAAAAGCTTCTCTTGCCACCAGTATGGAATCAGACTGGTTTGAGTTGGAAGGACCTTAAAGCCCATTTCATTCCATCCCATCCCCTGCCATGGGCAGGGACACCTCCCACTAGCCCAGGTTGCTCCAAGCCCCGTCCAACCTGGCCTTGGACACTTCCAGGGATGGGGCAGCCTCAGCTTCTCTGGGCAACCTGTGCCAGGGCCTCCCCACCCTCACAGGGGAGGATTCCTTCCCAATATCCCATCTAACCCTGCCCTCTGGAAGTGGGAACCCATTCCCCCTTGTCCTGTCAGTTCAGGCCCATGTCTCCAGTTCCTTTCCAGCTCTCCTGGAGACCCTTTAGGCCCTGGAAGGAGCTCTCAGGTCTTCCTGGATCCTTCTCCAGGTGAACACCCCCAGCTTTCCCAGCCTTTCCTCATAGCAGAGTGGCTCCAGCCCTCTGATCTTCTCGTAGCAATTCATCATCATGGTCCTTCTCTCCAGAGCTCGTGTCTGCAGAGCCAGTTGTGCTGGGCACCTTTCATAAACACTAAAATTCACTTGGAAATAAATTAACCCCCTTAACCACAGCCCTTTTTAAATTTAGCTGCTTCTTTCCCTTGCTCTGTGGGTTGAGTTCATGACTAAAATGCAGTTGACTGCCTCTCCTCCTTCCCATTGATTCAGGAATTTCAAACTGATAGGGAATACTTCCGTATAAGTAGTCAACGAATCCTGTATCCTGTTGCGGAAATGAGATTTTCTTTTATAAAAGCAATATGCTCTACAGGATTGTGGAATTGATGGAGGGCTGGTGAATGCTCAGAAAATTTCATCAGTATATTTCTGGTGGAGAAAAATACTCTAATTCTGTACTTTGAGAGGTCAGAGGAGACTTATTTGTGTCTCCGGAGGAATTAAAATCCAAAAATATATGAATTTGTGAAGCTTGGAGGATTTGGGGGTGAGGGGGTGGGTGTGTGAAACAGTTTGCTAAAGGATGAGGCTGGAAGGATGTTGAGTGATGGATGATTCAGTGTGAAATCTGAGGAGTTTGGGACCTTGGATGAGAATGGACTATGGTGCTGTGGTTTGTGTATCTTTAAAAAAAAAAAGATGTAAAATACAGTTTTAAAATTTATGTATCTATATATATAAACATAAATATGAATATGTAGTAGTTATATAAAACAATTACATGTTTCCTTATAGAAGTAAATACATGTATAAATAGGTGATATTTATCCCTACCACAATTAATAACATTTAAAATAACAATATAAATGAGTGTGGAACAGTTTTATAATAACCTAATGCATGCTTTCAGTTCTACACATGTAAGTGCTCATGGTTGGGAGTTAAATAAAATGTCTTATCCTTGCAAACATCAAGATTTTGGATTATGTAAATAGTGATTTGTCTGATTTGTTTTGTCCTATAGAGTTGTTTGGATTCTCTGCTGCTTTGTTTTCCAAATGACTTCCAGCTGATTACCAAGTGAGCTGTGGAGCTGCTGTTGTCTGAAAAAGAAAATCTAGGGATTTCTCCATGAGGAAATTTAGTCTATTAAATATTGGTAGGCAGCAGATAGCATTTATAAGAGTTCTTATTGTTTAATTATGACCAAAATTACATCTCTGTTTCCATGCTGTGTAGTGGAAATGAAGTTACTGAGCACTGGTTTAATTTCTTTGGTCACTAAATGAACCATAAAATAAAGAAATGCATTTGTCAGTGTCCTCCAAAAGAGATGCTTTTCAATTGACACAAATTTATTGCATGTATTTACCTTCAGCACAGTTCCTGTGTCACTGCTTCAGTGAAGTCTTTGCTTGGGTGCTCCTATGTTGGTAATTCCTCCTGAGCATCCTTTTTATGAAGATTAATATTTGATTCCCACTGCCCATTTCCCTGACATTAATCACCATGGGTTGGACTCGTGCAGTGGAACAGATATGGAATTATTGTTGTCTGTAATCGTTGTGCATCACACTCGGGAGCTGCTGCCAGAGCAGGAGAAGGATGTTCTGGACTATACATTTATCAAGGTTGCCCATTAATCAGGGCTGGAAGGGGGTTGTGACAGGCAGGCTGATACCTGCCTTTCCTCCTCTGGACTTCCAAGTAATCAACATACAGTTGATCAACTCGATGTTGTATAGAACAGTCTATAGCAAAGATGCACTGAAAATCTCGTGTCCCCCTAGGGGCTATTTCCATAGCACTGGATTGGTTCAAAAATCAGAGCATCATGGAATTGTTTGGGTTGGAAGGAACCTTAAAGACCCTCCAGTTCCACCCCCTTCCACTATCCCAGGTTGTTCCAAGCCCTGTCCAACCTGGCCTTGAACACTTCCAGGGATGGGGCAGCCACAGCTTCTCTGGGCAACCTTATTCCTTACCTGCCCAGATGCTGAGTATCATGAAATTACCTTTTGATTTTAGGCCTGGCTTTCCCATTGGCAGTATTTATTCCTTTTTCCCTACTTCATAGTAAGCTCTATATCGGTGTTTTCTCCTTACAATAAAAGTTCCACTGGTAATTTGAGTGCCACGTAATCTTCAGAAAGGTTTCACAGATTTGGTGCTTGCAGGGTCCTCTGGCTGTTGATTTTGTTGGTTTGTGGCTTTGTTTGTTTGTTCTTAAAAAGGATTTCATAGAATCATAGAATTGGTTAGGTTGGAAAAGAGCTTTAGTATCATCAAGTCCAACTGTCAACCAGCCTCACCACCGTGTTCACTGCTAACCATGTCCCCAAGTGCCACATCCACACAGCTTTTAAATCCCTCCAGAGATGGGCACTCCACCCCTGCCCTAGGCAGCTCTACCAGGATTGGACAACCCTTTCCAGGAAGGAATTTTCCCTAATATTCAACCTGAACCTCCCATGGCCCAACTTGAGGCCATTTCTTTCTGTCCTGTCCCTTATTCCCTGGCAGCAGAGCCTGAACCCCCCCCAGCTCCCCCTTCCTGTCAGGGAGTTGCAAAGAGTGAGAAGGTCCCCCCTGAGCCTCCTTTTCTCCAGGCTGAGCCCCCCCAGCTCCCTCAGCTGCTCCTCCTCAGACTTGGATCTTTCTCTCAAGTGCCCAGCACACCTTGACACTTGGTTTTATTCCCCTGTTTTATAACCAGCAGGTGCTCCCAGGTGGATGCTGAGGAAGGCAGAGGTGGGAACTGAGGAGCCTTGTCAAGTCCACCCAAGGGAACTGATTGTTTGTGTGGGTTGTGTAACTCCAGACAAAGCACTGTGACAAATCAATTAGTGTTCCCTTTCTCAGAAATTCAATCTGAATCCCTTCCCCATTGATCAGGGCTGTCTCCAGACAGTCCAGCTCAGAGGTGGCACAGCTGCAGCTCTGCCTTCTTCATGCTGCAGATATTAAATTAATCTTTGCCCTCTCTACTAGTGGGGCTTAGCAGGGACATGAAACACTCTCAAACCTCTAATTAGGGGCCTTTTAGGTTACTAAAGATTGATTCACCTCTCGGGCTTGCAAAGGCATGTTCTGTGCAACAGGACATTAGGGTTCTTCCTCTCCCCTTCCCCTCCCCTGCTCTGTGGAGTTTTGCTTAATCTGCTCTTTTTGTTTTTCCATGGCTGTCCAAGACTAAGGGAACAGCTTAGACTGAGACTTTACAAATGCAGAGGTACCAGGTTGAAATCACTGAAGCAGGCCATTCCTTGGGTTGACATTTATATGGGTAATTAGTAATTAATTTAGACCTGGTGATTCCTGGTATGTAAGAACAATCTGAGTATGTGAGCAGGGAAGGGGATATTTTGTGGATAGGAGTGAGTGGTCAAAGTCTGGAGGAGTTCAGAGGCAGAAGTTTCTAAGGTGAAGTGAGGTTTTGGTTGAAAAGCGGGTGGCTGGAAATCTGGAATTTACCTTCTTTTTCCTGATTTTTGTGTCTTACATAAGCACTGAAGGACGTTTAGGCAGCTCTCTGGAGTTACAGAAAGCTGTGTATGTAACCTCCTGTTTTGTGTGCAGACTGCAGGGAAATCTTGCTGCCAACCATGACAGACCAGCTCAAGTATCACTTGGAAAGACAAGAAGATTTGGAGGCTTGTTGCCAGTTGCTGAGTAACATCCTGGAAGTGCTGTACAAGAAAGACGTGGTGAGTATTGCACAGTTCTGTGATGATCAGCACTTCAGTGATCTCAATAAGATGAATTGAGCAGGTAACTCCTGATGACTTGGATTTTATTTTTATATTTTAAATATAACCCCCCTCAAACAGTCTCTTCTAGCTCTGTTATGTATCCAGGGATGAGGATGTGCAGTGTGACACCTCACACAACACATCCAATACAGCACTGACTGTTTCTGAGACACATCCAGTACAGCTTTTCTGGTTAGACAGTGAGCAAATAGGTATTTTTAGGAGTTCAACCTTCCCCTTACGTAGTGTGTGGCCTCTGCCAGGTGGAAAACGTTTTGTTTTGGTGTTTTGTTTTTGTGTTCCCCCATGAGCATTTTGGGAAATGTGCTTTGAGATGTATTGTTCCTGACAAGGTACACAGACATGCAGCATGTGTAAAAGTCCCTTTTTTTGCATAATAGTCCCTTTTTTGCCTTCTCTTGACTTCAGCTAACATACAAATATCAGTGCTTTGCTGGAGAGCTGCAGTGATTTGATGCTCTCTTAAAATTTGGGCTGCTTCTGCTGCCTGAACCTTCATTCCTGTGTGGAATCATACACTAATTCAGTTGGAAAGGACCTCGGGGGTCAGCCACTCACATCGTATCTGGCATCTTATTTAACTGTGGTTTTTGGGATTGCTCTGATTTTGTTGCTTTTTTAAAAGTAGCTCTGTGTGACTGCTTCAGAGAGGGGGTTGTTTTACAAAGGAATTTGGTTTTGGCAGCTTGGCTGCTCCTGTCATTCTTTGTTGGCTGCGTTTTTCTCCATGGTGGGACCTCACCTACAGCTCCACCATCTCCCAGGCTGTTCCTTGCTCCAGGACCAGTACCTGTGTATATTTGTACTGGTGAGGGATCAGTCTTCAAATACATTTTTCATATATAAAATAAAAGATGGGAGCAAAGCTCATCTGTTTCTTTCTCCTTGTTGTGTTTTTGACTTTGAGTTTTGCCCATCATTCTGCACAGGGTTTCTGGGCTTGTCCTTAATACCTGGTTGCAGTAAATATTTCATTTTCAACTCTTTCAAAAATAGTGGTGGATTGCTCCTAATACAGAAATACTAATTTGAAACAACTGACTGAAATGGGCAGTTCCTTAAGGAAAGTTTTGCTTTGCTTTTCTCTTTTAATTGAGCTGTTGCAGAACAACCCCCTCCTGATTTGGTAATGCCTGGGGGGTTTTGATGTTGGAAAAAGGACTTGGGGAAAAGAAAATTAATAGGTAACTTAATGTCATAGGCTTTGCTGTATTTCCAGGGACTTGCTTTTCATTGAAATTGTACCAGTACATGTTAATTTATCAGTAACATGTGTTAATAAAATAGACTTTGTTGAAGTGGGAGACTTAATTTTCTGCTTTTGATCAACAGCAAGTGATGTTTTGATTAATTTTCACAGGACAGGTATATTTAAAGTTCAGTTGTGTTGGTATCTGTTGTATGTAGTTACCACTAATTTATTCTCTTTCCTTAGGGGCCAACCCAGAGACATGTCCAGATAATCATGGAGAACCTACTGAGGACGGTGAACAGAACAGTTATTTCCATGGGACGTGATTCCGAGCTCATTGTAAGTGTCTCCTGATGGAAACTTAAATACCTCTGTCACATCTTTGGGAACCTGCCTGTAATAGGATTTAAATCCCAGCTGACCCAAAGCAATCAAAACCTCCTGTAACTGTCTGTGTGCTTGGGAAGCTGGAAAACACTGGCTGCTCATTTTGCCGGGGTTGACACGGGGAGGAAAAAAAAGACTTGAAAAGTATCTGTGGGCAGGTGATGAGCCAGATCTGAGATATCTGTGTTCACCAAGATGATGGATGGTTGGTAATTAGTCAGCTGAGAAGGGTGGAAATGAGAGACTTGGCTGTTTGTTACTGCATTACAAGAATTTACTTGCCTTTTTTGACTGAGATAATTAAGCTGACAATATTCAAATTATTGAAGAATAGAGCCCTGAATTATGATGTTCTGAATACCTACAGGAAGGACTGATACCAGTCACATTGTTGTCTTACCACTGTGACTTTAAAGCCTGACACTTGAATTTTTCAACTGTTCATTAATTAATATTGGTCTAAATAATGAATAGGATAGTGAGGCCTGTTGCTATCTAAAATAGGGGCAGATCTGAGTGTGGGTTTGGGAGTGTCACTGTGTGTTTTGGGGGGTGTCATTGTGTATTTCCCTTTATCTTGTATTCTTTCGTTGGTGTCTGCACCTGGCAAGTGATACATGTAGGAAACTGGTCCAAGTGGCCCAGATCTGTGATCTGTCTGAGCCCTTGTCCCTCTGTTCTGCACCAGTTTGGTCTGGTTTGGTTCAATACCCTGATTTCTTTCTTAAAAAGGGATTCATTGTTAGTCAGATCTGAGTCCTTTAGCAACTTGTTTTTTTTGATCTCCCCTTTCCCTTCCACTTTAAATTCTCTGTGTAATTGCACACAGTGATATGTGACTTTTAAGAAGGCTCTGTGTCCTCAGCACCTCTTACTTACCTACTGCTGCCTCTCTGCTTGGCACATGGTGGTGCTTGTGTTGGCAAAGATGCTGCAATTTAATTTTGTTCATCATCCACCGACTTATTTTTGGTCTTCCACTTTTATCACTTTAGTTTCCAACAACAGTTTTTGTTTTAAGGAAGAGATCATAGGTCAGCAGATCCATTGCTGGAGCAAGAAATCGTAGAATCCTAGAATGGTTTGGGTTGGAAGGGATCTTATAACTCATCTCATTCCACCCCCTGCCATGGGCAGGGACACCTTCCACTAGCCCAAGTTGCTCCAAGCCCTGTCCAACCTGGCCTTGGACACTTTCAGGGATTAAGAATCCAAAACCTCTCGGGGCAAATGGTTCCAAGTAGATCATTCTTACAGAATATTCCAGTGCTGGGATTCAGTAACAGGGAAAGGAAGTCGAAAGACGTGTATGTTATTTTAACTTCTTCAGCTTCAGTTAGAATGTGAATTAATTATTGTTTTGATGAACATGATTCAAATGGCATTCAAAAATGTTAATTATGCCTTTTACAGTTATCACACTAGATCTGAAAACTTCTGTTTGTGTTTTAATTAAGTACATTTGTATTAAAAATATCCCTGGTGCTCATGAGCACAGCCTGGAATCCCTCCATCTGCAGGCTCTGTAATTAGTTAATGAGGACTAACAGGAAGGGTACTTTCAATGAGTACTTACTTCTGACTTAAAATTCAGCCTGTTGCTGAAAGGAGGCCCCTGTGAGTAGCCAGTAACAACTTATTTTTGTGGTGTCAGCAAAGCAGGGAGAACAAAATGTATAATAATCATAATTAGGAAGCATAACCTGACTTCCCTTGGATCAGATTTGGGTTGAAATGATGCACTGACTTTTTTTACTTTTACCTGGAACTTATAGTAGAGAATTAACCATCCAGGAAGAGTAAGAGGAAGGAATTCTAAAAGTAAAGGATCTTAGAGGCAAAGTACAAGTAATGATAACTTTCTGAAAAGAAGTAAAATACACGACATAACAACTTGTTTATTCTATGAATTTAATTGTATTAGTGTCCTAAAGCTGCATGTTTTCTCCTTGGAAACATCCTCAGTGATACCATCTTTATCCCAAACCTGATGTTGCATAATCCAGTTTATGAGCAGTGGAGGAATGTCAAGAATTTAAGTGCTCAAGTGAAAATGTTTGATGACAGGAGGTGCCTTTTTTAGAGTGTTGAACTGGAAGATTCTCCAACAGTTTCCTTTGACCTTGCACATTTGTTTTTTGGAATCCTTAAATGTAAGTTCCTACACAAAATAAGCTGTTTTTTCATATACCTTCAAAAGAGAATTACCTTGAAATAATATAGACCAGCTGCAAGGAGAAGAACTAGATATCAAATAAAACAGAGTATAATTGATAGTTTGAAATCTGATTTGACCATAATTTTGGTAGCAAGAGAATTTTTAGTCCTCATTGCTTTAGATTCTTTTTTTTTTCCCTGTGGAAGCCTCAGTGGTGGTTTTTACTTGATCTGTTTGCTGAGCAGAAGGTTCTGTGTTATTTTGTATTTATTATTTATGTATTTATTATATTATTGGTGGAGGTAGGAGCAGGATGCAGGCTGTGGGTGCTGAGCTGTCTCCTGCAAGGTTGCTGCTCAAAGCTGCTTGTTTGAGGTTAATTTTGCTCCTGCCTCGAGCTACTCCTGCTCCTGGCACAGTGAGAAGTCACCTTGAACAAAATCACGTCTTTCTTGCTGAAGGACATGTTGCCTGAAGAAAAAGTAAATTGAGCCAAGATCCTTGAGCCTCTGGAAGGATGATTTTAAACCATCCCTTTCCTTAGCTTTTCTGAAGAATGTTGGGTTCCAGCATTCTTCAGCGTGAGGCAACAATTGTCCTCCTTCAATAAATCAGGGCTAACCGGCCACGATGGTGGGTCCAAAGGGAATCCTCCTCGTACTCAGCAGCTTGGAATGTGCTTCACTTACAAAACCAAGAAAACCAAGGTAGTTCCTGAACAATTTAATTTTAAAAAGGAAATTTCCTGGTCTAGTGGAAGGTGTCCCATGGCAGGGTGTTGGACGAGATGGTCTTTGGAGGTCTCCTCCAACCCAGAACACTCGTGATTCTGTGATCCTGTGATGTCCAGGTGGGGTTTTTGGATTCCTCTGTGTAGTTCTTGGAAGATACTTTTAGTTGGCAGATCTATGCAGTGATCATAGTGAATAGAGTCTTGATTCCTTTGTATGATGGAACAAATCAAATTCCATTTTGATACAGAAAAAAATGCAAGAGCAAAGAGGGCTCAGGGAGCTTGTGGACTCCCCATCCCTGGAAGTGTCCAAGGCCAGGTTGGAGCAACCTGGTCTAGTGGAAGGTGTCCCTGCCCATGGCAGAGGGTGGGACTGGATGATCTTTAAGGTCCCTCCCAACCCAAACCGTTCCATGGTTCTGTGATTCAATTTCCCAAAGCAAACTGGGATTTTAACTCCCAACAGTCTGTCCTGAAGAACAGGCTCTGAACACGTAGTGGTCTGTGGGGAACAAAGTCAGTGTGAAAACCTGCTGAGATCAGGGCAAAAACTCCTATTTTGGATATTCTTGGGATGTGTGACTAGGAAGCAGTGGACAGGAGAGGCCTTGATGGCTTTACTGATGGGTGGAGTGTTTCCCTTGTCACTTCTTTCCCCACTCTACGCTTGAGGACAAAGATGTGGTGAAACCAGGACAGAAATGATGCAGAAGTCATCAGCAAATAAAGAAAGGGATTTGTGGTGAGATGCAGAAGCCATCTGAGGTCCATGTGCAGGAGATGCAGAGGTGGCCCTTGGTGCTAGAGAAGCTCTGTGGGATGCAGGTGACACGGGTCACAGGGAGGAGGGGCTGGAGGCAGGAGTAAAGTAGAGAGTGTGGCTCTGATGGGGAGCAACTTAAGGACAAATAATCAGTCAATCCAGGACAGTGGTGGATTATCCATCTCCTGGCACCTTCCAGGCTGGAGACCTTTCTGAAAGGCAGTAAAATACAAGAGCAAATCTGTATAAAATATGAATTATTGAGAGTCACAGGAGAGAGTTCTGAGGCTACAGTTATTTAGGAGTTGAAGCTGTTTGTAAATTATCTTTCTGTGCCTTAAAATCTGTCTAGTTCAGGGTTAATGGATTCCAAAATGTTGATGACAGCTTCATTTTCTTCACTGGAATTCTTCAGTGTGAAAATACTTTGTTTTATTGAATCACATGTTTTTTCTTCTCTTTCAAAATCATTTGAAATTACATCCTGCAAACTAAATTTCACAGCAAGTGAAGTGGGATTTTTTTTGTGTTGTCAAACCATCACCATGCAGTGATGGGTAGGGACCATTCCCTACCAACATTTATGGGAAGAAGCTGCATCCTCCTAATCAAATGGCCAGCAAATTTGTAGCTCTCCCCTTATTTTAATGAACCACAGATGTATTTTGTGGTCGCTGAAATATGACAATTTTTCATGCTGTTCCTTTCTTTCTCTTGTGTTGGTGGATTTTCAGTGGCAATCCAGTTAAATTCCAGACATATAATGTGTGCTGCTACCCAGATCCTAAAGAACTGGGATAATCTAACAGCAGATTGGAAAGTCCGTGAAAAATGACCCTATTTGATTTGAAAAAGTAATTAACCTTTAAAACATCAAGTGAGATTAAAGGCAGGGATGGTGGTTTTGCATCTCAGGCAAGAAAAAGCAAACACTCTGTACCCACAGTAGGATTTTCCAGTTTTAATCATGATTTTTTTCAGTTTATCCTGATTTTTTTTTAAACTATTTTTTACAGTGATTTTTAATCTTTAAGAAACCAAGGGCTACTCACAGGGATGGTGTTTCCTCAGAGTTCTAAACCAAAGGATGGAACTGTTGCTTCGTGGAAATTACGGACTCAAATCGCAAGGGATATAAAATCACTGCAGTATTTATTGGCTAAAAAGTATTTTGAAGCAGGAAATGGGAGAAGTGCAGATAGAAAATCAGTGTATGAAGTGCAGGGGACTGTCAGTGAATGCAGCAAAGCCACACTGAAAGTAAAAATGCATTTTCCTTGTCATAACCTCAGAGATCT